TGCAAGGTTAAGAGACCCGCGATCCCAGTTAATAACACGCGATAACTATCGACGATGGAATCGAGATCGTATCTCGGAACCGAGGATCACCGAGGCGCTAGCTTGTTTGCTTCGCAAACAGGCCATGATCGTGGATTCGCAGAGAGCGATCCCCCGTCGCATGTAACCAGACATGCCCAGGTTCCTATGATGACGAGTTTTATTATGACTATCCAAGATCCTGAAGGAACCCGAGCAACGGGTATGTCTATTCAAGATGAATGAGAATTTCTCTCCCTCGGTTAATACCGTAGATGGGCAGTCCAGACAGCATAACCTGCTCTGGTGTCTCGAGTCGGCTTTTCTTACGCTTTGGAGAACAATCCTCCAGCAGAAGGAGCATCGTTACCATTATTCTCTCGCCGTGATGTCAGGATCTGGCGGCGGCGGGTGGGAGGCCAGCACAAGCCGCCTTGCCTGCCATCATTCAGCAAGGTAGGAAAATGCCAGGTGGGAGGAAGGGAAAAATGATCAAATTTGTATTACGAAGCTACGCAGAAACAGCCTGGGGATGAAGCATCCGGGAAGATATTAGAGAGAGAGACGCTAGGGGAAACGGACTTGTACATGTGGCTGCAGCTGGGGATAGGTGCGGACAGGTGGAGCTGCCTCACCCTTGTGATCGCTGTCACACGTATCCAATCTGCGTCCTTATCTCGTCCCCAGAACTAGGGTTCTCCGCATCTCTAGATATTGGACACTAGCGCTAGTTCCTTTTTCAACAAGCCTTTCTCAATCGGCTCAGTCTGAGAGGAGAGTATCGATTCAGGGTCATATCTGTATCGGCTGAGATCAACAGCGAGCGATTTCATTAAACAGAGAAATGGGGTTTCCAGGTATATCTCGTAGGTCGTGTGTAGGGGTATTCTAACGGAGACAAGACAGGTCGTCGATGCTCCCACCTTCTGGCTTGCGCCAGGGATCCTAAAAGTTGAGTTGACAGGTACAAAGTCGAGTCTAGACTGCAGGCACTGGACATAATAGACTGGAGATTTCACAACGAGCCGCCCGAACAACCGGGAAGGGCGTGCGGGGAGCATTGACTGCAGTGTACCTCGGTACATTAATCCAATTTTACCTCGCCCGCAGCTCTTCTCAACCAGCCAAATATTGAGATTAATCTTATTCTTCTGCGTCCTTCAACTGACATTGAACCGCGATTCTCGTGTCACATTGTAAAATTGCCTACTCTCTCAATCCCAATCCCAGCTCCTACCCCGCAAGCTTATGCTACACCACTACACTGAGAGATAGCATCTCCTCTTCTCGAGCCAGTTCCCTTTGTTGACACGACCTCGACCTCGCAAAGATGCCCGCGTACCACGAGGACCCTTCCCAGTTTCCCATGGACGGAGGTTGCGCCTGCGGCCTCATCCGCTACCGCATTTCGCAAGCTCCCATCATCGTTCATTGCTGCCACTGCACCTCGTGCCAGCGTGAAACAGGCACCGCCTTTGCATTGAACGCCTTCATAGAGTCGACTTCAGTCGAACAGCTGGCGCCATCCAAGCCAATGGTCCCCGCGGGCCCGACTAAAGATTTTCCCGCTGTCCCTGCCCTGCCGGAAATCACAACCCCATACGTGGACCCGGCCACTTTAGCCCCCGCCTCGGAAGACATTCCTCTGCGCTATGCTGTCATCAAACGGCCCGAGGGTGCCCCTTCTCCTCAGTACATTGTCCTACCCTCTCAGTCTAAGAAGGGCCAGACAGTAGCGCGTTGCCCGCGTTGCTATATCTGCCTCTGGAGCCACTATGGTGGGGGAAGCGGTCCTGCCATCACGGTTATTAGAGTCGGCACGCTCGATGAGGCGTGGAAGGTCGGCCCGGATGTCCACATTTTCACGCGGAGCAAAAGGGACTTTGTCAAGTTGGATGACGGGGTGAAGCAATTTCCGGCGTTTTACCGCAGTCGAAAGGGCGTGTATAGAGAAGATGCCCAGGAGAGGTTTGCTAAGTTGATACCGGAGATTCGGGCTTACCATGCCACGATGTCAAAGTTGTAACGGTTGGGAAAAGGGCAAGGGTTTGTATGTTTACAAGGACATTATACTAACGGCAGTGTTGGCGGCTCCAGTTAGTTGACGTCTATTAACTATGATGACTGTTGGTGTATTTTTGTTTTCGAAGTAGCGTGGGCGCATGGGGAGCGAACGAGGGGATAGAACGCAGACAAAGCATTGTTTAGAAACTAGCAGCTGAGAGCACGCCCGATAAGCACAACATACGCCTAGTAAATCTACCCCTCGGGGTTGTTTAAACGCCTTGACGTCGATATTGTGTGGTAAAATCTCTCATCTATGATGATGGACTAATGGCAGAGCGCTAACCAGACTCTCCTCTAGATTATAAAATCATGATGCTCGGCCTCCCCCTCGGCTCGTGCGGCGGATCCTAGCTGGGCGTTAGCCAACACGTTACGTGACGATGCGCATCGCCTCTTCAAGGTAGCCAACATCTTGAGACGAGGAACTGCCCTGGGCGGAATGGAGCGCTAGAGCACCCGGATATGCATACGTTGCACCTATAGCCGAAAGCCAAGGTTTCCAAATACCAAACCAGCACGGAGGAAGTTCGTAAAAGCAGCTGGGTTCTATCCATCACTGCTACCTTTACTCCTTGAGACGTTGTTCGAAGGTTAAGATTAGAGTTGCCAACCAGGCAAATGGCATGACCTCTCGTTTAAGGAGGACGTGGTGAAACAATCTTACAATGGCTGTATTTCTGAAATGTCCCAAAATATGGCCTATTACTCCTCAAATGGAAATTCATGAACTCGATTGACCACTCCTCAACGCCGCCAGCCTCGACTCAAGCCGCCTTTCCTTCTCTTCGATTTCTTGCAGGACTTGCAAAGTCGCTCTTTTGGCCTGAAGCTGTGCTTGCTGCTGCTGTATAAGATCCATCTCCTCTTCAGGTGATAGAGCATTAACACCCGGCTCAGTTGTTATTGCCGTAGTGACTGATGCGTACTGGCTAGGGATTGCCGGGTTGGCGTGGATCTGCTGATGGTATGACTCCTCGTATAAACCTCGCGGAACTGCAGCTCCCGATTGAAGTTCTGCAAGCTGAGGACCAGGCTCCCTCGCTTCCATCTCAACTGCGTTCCGATCAGAGTGCAGCTCTGAAGTGAGTACCGTCGACGAGTGTGCGAATGCCATGCCTGAGGCGCGGATCGCTCTCTGGTCGATACCTTTGTCTTGGGCCTCGTGATTCTGAAGCCCAAAATCGGCTGACTGGTTCTGATTCGCTGCCATTGCTGGTTCTGGATCCTGCCTCCTCCTTCTATATCGCCGGAACAATGAGATGGCGGCCACGCCGATGCCAATACCGACGACGAGGCACATTATCGCGATGCCGGCTATCCCTCCTTTAGAAAGGCCGCTTTCAGGCGATGTCTCCGCCGCGGCACTTGAACTTGTTGCGACAGGGGCGCTTTCAGATGCCGCTGACGAGATGATTATACTAGTCCAAGGGGTCACGCCTGGCGAGAGAGGATGTGTTTCCAAGTAAGCCAAGTCAGACGATTTCCACCTAATTTCAAGACCTGTAATAGTTGAACCACCGCTAACCGCTGAACCACCTGTTTCGCAATTAAACCCACTGGAGGGAGCATCGCGCGGTTAGTTGACCCGCTCAACCCGGAAGACGGCGTGGGAGAGTTTCATCATGTCTTACCTTGGCACGCATAGCTTAGCAGTCTCACCATTTTGGGCACCGTTGTTGCCGTCACACCCAACAGAATAGAAGGATGGACAGATGCCTGGCGAGTAGAAGCCTGCGGCGGGTTTCCGCCGTCGACTACATCTTTCCAATCTGGGGGGAAACAACGTGGGTCTGCATTGCTATCGGCAACGTAGATGGAACGGCAGCCGAGATCCGTGGGCTGGATAAAAATTGTCGTCAACGGACGAACGGTGACCTCGCCGTTCGCCTCAGTCACTGTCGGGTATGATGTTTGGGGACGGGACATGTCGAAAATGGCTCGCCTTTGGCCTTCGATGGGCTTGACCTGCAGAGAATAAACTGCGAGATCCCGAAGTGCGGCTGACCTGTGTGACAGCGACAGCGGGGAATGTTGGATTTTTATACATGTTTGATGTACATGTTTGCTGTGCGGTGTGGTTCTTCAACGCGAAGCCGTATTATTGAAGTTCTTTCGGGTGTCCAACAGCTAGAAGTCATTGCTGTTTGTCTCGGGGAGGGCAAAGCAGTTAGAGGCAATTAGTTGCCCTCATGTGAGTGGGCTGGGAGTATTTGAGACTGCCATCCGTTCTGCGAGCCTTCACGGAACTACTCCAGCTATATATTCTCTTGCAGCTACCTCCCTTAACCTGCAGTGGATGGGTCAGGCTTTCCGTATTGATTGTCGACGGCTAGCTCTGGGCGTCACACCTACAAATTCACCCATGTCGGCTTCCAGCATAATAGTGGTGAGATTCCACAGATTCAGATGGATATAAACCCTGGTTTGACTCAATCTCAACCGACTACCGTTATATTTATTAATAAACCTCTTAGAAGCCCACCGCCGTCCGTGTGATCAATGTTCTCGTTTAATTCTCACTAGAAACATGGCCTTAAGTTTGGCTCTGCCGGGAATTTGATTCGATGTTTCTGTTTATAGACAATCTCGTGGCAATATCCCAGGTTCTTGGCTCCATTAATGCGGAAAGGATCGATATTAATATCACCCAAAATCGCCGCAGATTCTCGGATCTACACTATACGCCTCGTAGATTAAGCCTGTGCCGATATGGAGCTACTGTCCGGATGCAATCTAAATCCCCGGGATAAATAACGCCCTGCCCCGCCCCGCCGAGCCTTGGTCTATATAATAACTCGCATCGCCCATCTGTCCAAGATCCCGCGACTCCATTGGTGCCGTTTCGAGAAGTTTCCTTTCATACTGATATCCATCGATCTTGTCCCAGAAAGCGTACATTCCCCGAGCAACCGACAATGCATTTCTCGACTGTCTGCGCCGTGCTCGCGGCACCCCTCGCCGCCGTTGCAGCCCCGAGCCCGACCCGGACTACGACTAGCTTTGATCTTGCTAGTAAAGTCTTGGCTTCCAGGCAGGCAATGAAACCTCCGCCGTTCTGCGTGCGACAGGACCCGCCGCCTTCCGAGGAGGAGACCGAAAAGCTCTTCGACGCGTTCGCTGAGGCTTTCATCACCAAGAACAACATTACCGAGGCCTTTACTTACATCGCCGAGGACTACATCGTACGCCTCTTTTAAACTTTGTTTTATTTTTATACTGGTCCACTTGTATTATGATGTATGGTGGGAGCACGTCCTAACTACGTTCCGCTGCACACACAGAATCACAACCCTCTTGCCCAGAATGGCTTCATGAGCGCCTGGAACATTCTAAGTGGTATCTGGGGAGGGATTCAGAAGACCCTTCTTAAAACGGCGTTCGACGGAGACATGAGCTGGGTCAACTACCAGTCTAGTGGCATGGGTACGATTGTCGATAGGTTTAGGTGGGAAGGTGGCTGCATTGCTGAACACGTAAGAAGCATCCCCGAGCTCATTTACGTGGATTAGTTTCGGTTTATTCTAACTTTGATGGAATTAGTGGGATCAAGGCGAGCGAATGCCCTGAGCTCCGCCTCGGTGAAAGGGGTATCAGAGGGGGCGACTGTGATCAGTAGCAGCGTGGCTAATTGAAACTCTCGTATATACTTATTCTCTTTTACGAGCCTCATAGCCCTATTACGAATAGTGTTTAAATTTTGAAGAGGTGTTTGAAACGATCACGAGTGTAGATCGAGCTTGCAGGTTTGACGGACATATTATCATATCTCACCTCTAGATCATGCCCTGTTGCTAGACAGAGTGTGAACAACTCCCGCTCTCATCGTAGCTTGACTATGTTCGTGAAGCCAGAAGAAGGGGAGTCTCAATACTGAGACATTGGGGTGCTGGTATGAGACATTGTAGGGTCTGGGTTTGGGAGATATCACAGTTGATACGATATGTTGCGAAGAGCGGAAAGGCCATAGAATCGAGTCGATGTGGCGCCTCAGGACACAACTCCTTCATTCCGCGACATCTCCTCGCAACTTACATTGGACTCTGATTGGGAATCGAGTTAAGCGCTCGAAAACCGAAATGCACAAAATCCCACCCCTGTACCTAGGCAGGTGGACGTGCCTTTCTCTCTCCTTTTGCTATGAATCGTGGGACTCCGGTGGAAGAAATTTCCTGATTTGGGCATAGGGCCGCCGGAGCAAGCCGACATTTTTAGACAGTTGCGGACAATGACTAGCATGGCCACTCTATCCTGCCAAGATCTGCCAGTATATATTCAGAGGAGTTTCTCTCCAGAGTGTCACGATTCATGGAGCATCTAGATCCATCATTTCATTATCATACACACGAAGAGAACACACGTCCCAGTCGACCACGGGAACGAACAAAACTCCACTCAAAATGTCTTCGCAACCAAACACCATCACTGTAACCCTTCGGCAGGTTGCCAAAATGATCGACCATTCGCTGCTTCACCCTACGATGACGGACGCCGATATTCTGAATGGCCTTCGCATCTGCAAGAAATACTCGGTCGCCACGGCATGTGTCAAGCCCTACCTCATCCCTCTTGTGAAAAAGGAGCTAGAAGGGACGGATGTGCTCATCTGCCCCGTCATCGGTTTTCCCCACGGCAACAGCACCACTGAGGTCAAGGTGTTTGAGGCGGAGGCCGCAGCAGCAGCAGGGGGCAAAGAGATCGACATGGTCATCAACATCGGCAAAGCTCTTGGTGGCGATTGGGAGTACGTCTCCCGGGAGATTCGCCAGATCAACCAGACCGTTGCTAAACATGGTGCTATTCTTAAAGTCATTTTCGAGAATGACTATCTTGAAGAGAAGCACATCATCCGTCTCTGCGAGATCTGCTCGGATATCGGCGTTGGTTTCGTCAAAACGTCTACCGGGTACGGCTTTGTCAAACAACCTGACGGCAAATACTCTTACAAAGGGGCAACGGCACCCCATCTCAAGATTATGAGGCAATACTCTAAGCCCGAGGTGCAGGTGAAGGCGGCCGGGGGCGTGCGAACTCTTGATGACCTACTTCATGTCATGTCGTTGGGCGTAACTCGGATCGGTGCCACGGCGACTGTTGTCATTATGGAGGAGGCTATTAGGAGGGGGATCACGGACTCGCCCACGACTGTAGAGTTCAAGCCTATCGATGGAAATTCGTCTGGTGGCTACTAGATAGTCTCCCAACCCACAGCCACAACTGAAGGTGCCCATAGACACCAGAGTCCTCTTGTTAATGGAGTTTCAATACAACAGGCCCAAATTTCCATGACCATTTCTATTGCTCTCCCGCTTGAACAGTAGTCTTGCTTGAGACTGACTCGAAAAGATGACCGAATTACCTGCATAAAAAGAAGAATATCGTCAAGTGTTGTTGATCTGGTCCATGAACATGTATCCAGCGTCAAAGGCTGGGTCCCACATCCAATTCTGATCTTGGCCAATATACTCATCAGCAAGTAAGAAGTCTGGTGGGAGCGGAGAAAGAAATTTTTGATTGCCTGGCGTAGTTGTATCGATACTATTCATAGCTATCCATCCTCTATTAGAAAAGTCATTCGCAGTAGAAATTCTCACGGCTCAACGCTTACCTTGCTCAAAATCAATAACCGCCTGCATAGTGATGTTCTCCTCGCTTCCATCGGGGAGCATCTCATGAGGGTCGCTTGGTGCAGACGGTGCACTTTGGTGGCCATTTCTCTCTGAGTCTTGGGGGCCGCTATCAGCCGGGTGCGATGTAGAAATGCTTGAGTCGTGGTGACATCGAAAACAATGACCCTCGGTATCTTTCTCCGAGGCGAAACTAGTCTTCGGGATACTAGCTATTGTCTGTGGCCTCGTGGTCTCGCTCGGGGTTACGTGAACCCGGAGTAAGGCCTCTGTCTCCTTTCGCATGGCAAGCGATAGCAGCTCCTGTAGAACCTGCAAGCCTTGCTCGGCAACAACGGACTTTGTCTTTAGCGACGCCTACATCTGCATGACCCTCCGGATACCTAACTTGGCGTCATGCGCATCGCCGCTTAGTGGGTCAGAGCTTGTGATGACGCAAAGCGCAACTCCCGCCGTGAGGAGATGCAACGAGATAAAGTTCACAGCGAAAGTGCCCGACGCCTCTTGGAAGACGGGAAGCGTTCCTGCCCAGGAAATCTGGAGGGCAGCGTCGCGGCATGACTGAAGCAGCATGCGAAACGTGGAGGTACGGTTATGAACTCCCGTTTGGGAATCAAGTAGAAGCCCGCGAGGCTTCAGAAAGCTGTAGCGTAACAGGGGTCTATGAATAAGTATTCGCGTATTTTCGTACGCTAGCTTGAGCGCCAGGGCTTGTAGTCGGAAGAGCTTGTTGTCAAATGTCCGTTCCTCGAGATCCGGATGGAACCAATCGCCACTTGAGAGAGGGTCAGTATGCACGCCTAAGTCTTTGGTCATTCTCAAGAGAGCCGGTAGATCGGAATACCAGCGCGAGAGCTTCTGGTCAAGTGAAACGATCTTCTTGATTACTCCTTCGCGGCGTGATATTACTCGCTCCGTGAGTGCTGGCTGCGACCCCTTACGTCTATCTGAAGGTCGACGCGACCGATATAAGCCTTCCAGGACGGATTTGATGATCTTCGACAGGTTGGACATCGCACACTTGTAAGACAATAAAGTCGGCCGGTTGGGGTGCGTCGATGGTCCGCCAACTCCAAGAGACCAAGGATCATGAGGATCTAAGGGTTCTACATCACAGTCTTCGTCTAGGATGCTTAGTGGGAACCCGTATATCATAGAGCTGAATGTTTCAATCTCGTGTATGGCCCACCAGCAGCGCTTCCGAGTTTCGATGGTTTGTGGGCATCGAGAAAGTTCAGATTGTTGTGGCCGCCTGTGGAGATTGATGGCTAGCGCAAGCCGGAGAGCACACCCGCACAAAGGCCAGGCCAACTCGGGTTCTCCGTGATAAAAATAGTAACTGCCCAGAAGCACTGTTGTTTGAACAGCTTCGAGAGACCCAAGCGCAAGGACATCGAGAATGTGGAGCCTCAGAATGAACAGGGTGCGCTCTTTTAAAGCTTGTTTGTCCACACCGAATTCGACGAGCTTGGTCTCCTGATCGGTGTCTAGGTAGCCGAGGCTCAGGGCGCAAACTGCCAGAAGCACGCAAACACGGCCAGTGGCCTGGAAGACCAGTCTCGTATGTGATGGGGACGTGCTGGGATATAGATCAATCGACGACTTTCTGAACTCCCCCTGATGAAATAACAGCACGAACCAGTGGATCTTGTCGAAGTAGTTTTCGATCAAGATGCTGGCGGCGTCCCAGCTGGGCAAAAGATCCCATAACTCTCCTAGGGCTGCGCGGGGTCTCTTGCTTTGGAGAGTGTTTCTACGAACCGAGGAGGTCTGAAGATCGGGAATGGAGCGGGGCGTACTGCCATACCCCAATGCCGGGGTTTCCGGGGTTGCTATTGCGTTGCGGTCGTGATGGTGAAATGCCTAAGGTAATGACACGGTCAGTAACACACCCTGCGACTAAGGAATGGGGTGGTTCTCACTTCAGCCACAAGCTCCATCGTCGAGCTGTTACCACTCCAGATATCCCCTTCTGCGTGTGCATCATTTGCATCATTTGCATCGGATGATTCTTCGCCCTCGTCAGTGGCGAGTCTTGGACCTGGTTCGTCACCAACCTGGGCCAAATTCTCCACCTCCGTGTCGACCGCGAGCTGGGATGACGGCGCGCGTCTTCTTTTGGAAGGTTGGTCACGGTGGTTAGGCGTCTCGGGCTTTCGTCTGGTATTACTGTTTGTAGGGACTGGGTTATGTGTCTTCCATATTTGTCGCTCGGGGCTCACACATATCATGCCAGCCCTTACGCACATGATACATGGACGTTCTACATCGCACTAGTACGGAGTAGATGAGTATAATTGGTTAGATGATCGAGTCGGATATGTCTTCCTGTCCAGATGGCGGCGCCAACTTGCCTTGAGTTTCTGACGGCGACAGCGGGTGCACGCATTAGCAACTTTGGTCGTACTCATGTCTTCCCAGCAGGCCGCAGTAAGGACGGCATGGACATTGAATTTCTTTCCCCCTCTTTCTCTCGTTTGGGGGTCGCGGGCGACGCGATGATACCGAGCTACTCTTGGAAAATGGCAAAAACGAGCTCACAGCGCTCAGAAGTTAAAGTGGCTCCGGTTCGTGTTTTCCTCGTCTAGCACCTTTAGGAACCAATTCTCACTCGAAAGAGAAATTATCGCACGCGACAGGTTAGGAATGACTCTTAAAAAAAAAAGCAGCGTAAAGTTAATCTCCTTCAGTACTTGGGAACTGAGCTCCGCAATCGCAAATTCATACATAGCGTGTCGGTGTGTCCTGCTCAGTCCTAAACGAAACAGACGTGGCAAAAAGTCCCGGTGGGTTCAATTGCCACATCTAGCTTAGCGTCGGTTGGTGTGGATGGCTTCCAACCCCTTTTTGTCTTTGTCCTTCATGGCGTGGCTGGTGGTTTCCATGTTGGAGATGTCTTTTCAAACCGACCAGGATATCGTCGGCGGGTCAACAGGTGCCTGGCATAATGTTGCAGTGGACACTAAGCCACTTCCATCAATGTTTTCTGGTGAGCAACAGGAGTAATGAGTCTCATGACGCGTCCACGACTCCACATTGAATCGACATGGGCACCGTGATGCCATCGGGCCGCAGAACGCGTTGACAGAACTGATAAGTCACTGGAACTGGAGGAAGAAGTTCTCTAAAGGAAAAAGGATAACACGGCTTCCGGGATTCCAAGAAGGATGCTCTAGTTCAGTGAATGCGAGGTGACGACCTCTGTGCCCGGGATCTAGAAATGGATCTGTCCTTGGAGAAGATTGACATTAAGGCTAAAATCGAGTACATCTTACCTGGAGTTATCCTTCCTCGGGCAAACACAAAATGATGGAATCAGAATGATATTCGACGTTTAAGTTTATTTGAACGTATCGTCGGCAAGCATCGAGGAAGCCATAGAGTGCGAGGATCCGACTCATCCGAGCCCCTCTAGACATACTTCATTGACACTTTTTACCAGTCTTGAATCCGGGTACTAGTCATAGTGGTTAGAATCTCTATTCCATCATAAAATCATCTATTCTATCTCAACGGCAAGAGTGCTGTCATCGCCGGCTCAAAGAGTGGTGTTGATAGCTGCAGAACCAGCCATTGCCTAAGGTGAGCCGGGTGCAAACATCATTGCAGTTCGGTTCCCAACAGCCTAGAAACAATCATCAAGGATGCACTCACCAAGTCGACGGGAGACACAAATTTCGCGAATGCGGCCCGATGGTCGTGGAATCCATTCGCAAACCAGTGGCAGCAGTTGTGGAACGAGGTGGTCGGTCGACCAATTGACCTGAATGTCTCGTTGCTGGCGACTCTCTGAGCTGCCCCAGGCAATATGCATGTAGAGTCGGGCCTTGATTGGCCCAACCTGCATCTGGGTAGCAGCAAATGAAGCTCAAAACATAAACCCATGTCGTCCACAGCCTGGTCCCTTGTCCCACTTCCGTCGTCAACAAATTTTCGTGCCCAACCCCGCAGAATGCTGGAATCCTCAAACGACGGCGAACTCAAATGTGTGATATCTATCGAGTGCGATCGCCGGAGCGAACGCGTGCCCATCCTCTAGATCGTTAAGGATGTCGTCGTCATCATCATCGGGTTCCAACACGGACGACGTCACGGAGATAATCGTCGCCAGTATCGCGCTACTGTTTTCCGTCCTTGCCTTCGCGACGACCACGTTTCAGGCACTCCAGCAACACTTTGCTTCCGCCGCCGGCTACTACGCGTGTAGCGAACAAGTCATTGGGAAATGGGCCCAATTCACACACCGACGGATGCGTTGGTCGGACTTTCGAATGGAGGTCAGTTTCGAGGTGCCAGTCATCTTCGTTGCGAGGCCTGAGAACGAAAAGGGCCCACTTGGGGAAAACAAGACCAACAAAATCATAAAGTTGGATGGAGATGAAGAAGAGAACCTCAAGTACACCTCTGACTGGACCAAGGTGGAGAAAAAAGTCGACGAGACCAAGCACCAGCTAGTCCACACTGCCGACAACGAGAAGGCGACATGGTACGCTTTGCTCATGGCCATTTACCGGATGGAAAATGAGTCTCGTGCGTGGCAGAGGAAAGCTCTTGGGTACAATCCGCCCAATGGAACGTCACCGGCGCACGGCCTAGTCGTTTGCTTCCAGAGGAAGCGTCGCACTTGGGATGGCATGCACAAAGACCTGGGGAAGCCGTATGCAACGACCACGATATCTCACTTTGTCGAGATGATGGGAATGCTGGGTATCTACTGGAAAGAGTTCGATCTCAACAATGACAAGTATAGAGCCCAAGGCAACGGCTTCGCCGTCTACGGGTCGTACGTGAATAACCTGGGTATCACCTTTCTTTTCCAAAAGATTTCCTCGACGTGGTTTGAGAAGAATCGTGTGGTTCCAAATTACAGTGTCAAGAAGCTGTGCTTTGGATATGCCCCTACAATCTTTCATGAAGAAAAGGAACTGATCTACGCTGATGAACCCAAGGACGTGGGAACTCTACAGCTGGGAAGCTTCGCGGAGATCGCTCAGACCCTCATGGCGTTCGGATGCGATACGAGGACCGTCAAGTACTTTGGCAAGCACCAAGACCAGGCACGCCATAGCCACATTTTCCCAAGTAAGTATCCAAACGACAAAGAAAAAGGAATTTTGAAAAAGAAATACTCGGTTATTTCTACCCCTCGCTTGAGCTAATCAAAGTCAAGTTCCATTCGAAATCCTCGGCATGGTCGGCGAGTTGCTCCACGTAAAAGACACCGCATTCCGTATGCTTCCCAATCCCACCATCTTTCACTGGGATACGAGTTCGTTCTCCTTGTCGTTGTTGGCAGATGAGTTTTCAGGTCAGATGGAGGCCCCTGCACTTGAGGGGTTACTGCCCAAGTGCTGCCAGATTAATCACAAATCCCGAGGTGCGTTCCGAATTTGCTCGAACGTATTGTGGCGGGTAGGGACTGACCCGTCCTAGCCGACGTTGACAGAGAATACCGTAACGAAACTAGTGAAACTCAACTTATGGGAGAGCTAACTCAATTACGGACCCAAATTGAAGAGTGTGATAACTACCTGAAGCAGCAAGAGTTGTTCGAATTGGTGAAACAAGTCTTGTGCGTTCACATCCAGGAAGTCCTCGGCGTCCTCAACTGTCGAAGCAACACTGAATTAGACGATTCGAAAGATGCCACCAAGAGTACATCGAGACATCCTGCGGGCCATCCTCGCTCCACCCGTCACCGGGACGGCGCTCTCGTTGTAGTATCGGACGAAACTGACGACATCATCGAAGACAATCCTATTTATGTTGGCGACGTCACCATGCGAGACATTGACTCGGCATCCTTCAGTGATCGACACAGTCTCTTGATGGAGATGTACGTGCGCTCAATCCGGGAAAGGGTCGTCCAGATTGTCTGCGAGCAAGCTATAGCAGGTGAACACGTGCGTGCTCGAAGAGCCTCGGTGGCGAGTAGAGTGACGGCAGATACGGGAGCCGCCCATCTCCAAAGCAATGCTCAGACGAATTTGAGATGCAAGGTCAACCGAATTTGGTGCACATTGGTCTTCCGAATGCTGTGTTGGCTCCAGCTCCACGATTTCCATAGAAAAGATGTACAAGTTAGCAAAAGCGACGTTTACGGGAGTCGGATGCCGGTATATATAGTCTAAGATTTCTTCTGTCATGGTGTAAGCGAGGCGTTGGATTGTCCGCTAGATCATCCCAATACGTCGTATGGTCACATTGAAGTTCAGTCGGCCGATGTCAGTAGGAGGGTGAATCGTTATTTCCTTGACATAAAGGATAGGTGAGATTTAATTGAACCTTGGGGGATCGAGGCTCCAACGAGACCAGGTGGAAAGCTTGAGGCTCGCCGAAACATTGACTCTCAACGAACAAGACCTACTTCGAGCCTTGCTGAATAGAAACTCATAGGCGCCGTAAGTCTAATTAGATCGGTCCCAAAACTAGATAAAACCAGCCTGGCTACTTTCATTCATTTTAGGGTCATAGGCACATTTCTTTCGTCATAGAGACACAGTTTGTTGCCTGAGAACTACTTCCCATGGAACCTACCGCCTTGTCAGCGTAAAGCAGGCTAAGAAACTTGCGATCGAAGTTCACGGATCCATTGAAAACCTCGCTGCCTTGATGCCTACGACAAGCCCACCTAATATGGGAATGAAGAAGTTTTTGACCTTTAAACAATTCCACGACGAACCAATGGAGGCTCCCAGTCAGGATCTGTCGAGGCTGCCAGAAAAGGCCGACCGCCAGCGGGACGACTTTGCCGGGATGGCATCTATTCCTTTTCCTTATTTAAAGGGCCAGGCGGAACCAGAGCATGGCCGCCTTTGCTTGGGATGCTACAAGACGCAGGAGCTCTGTTATAACAGATTGTTTCCTGCCAGTGTGTTATCCGACCTGGCACCGCCCGGCACGAACCCTCGCCGTGCAATCCAGGCGATGTCTGAGCGACTCCACTCCTCTGGAGGATTGCGAGAGCATACTAAAAACTGCTACGGCGCGCGTCAGATGATTGTTTAACGGGAAGGAAAATAGAGCGCGTTGATGTACCTCATCTAAGAGAATGTTCTAGTCGAAGAGATGATTGGACTGGGAGGCATCGGCAATGATCGTTGGGGGGTTTGTAACTCAATATTTCAATAGAAATGCAATTCATTGTATCAATAAGACTTGCCAGCTAAGGTCACAAAGTGTGTGTGTGCCAAGGAACTGACATTGGTGAGGACCCTGTGATGGCTGGATAAACATAAATAGCGAGCCACCATGCCTGCAAACGCCGAGCCGATCGTAGAGACCCTCGGGATCAAGAGCCCATCCGATACTGGGGATTCGGTCTTTCGCAGTCCCAAGGCGGAAGTTGGACCGCAAATCTGCTTTGCCAAGCTTGTGAAATTCCGGACTTGTATAACTATCCTGTTGTGAACTGCCCCCTGCTGCCCAGCGGTATTATCATCGTTGGTGAAAAGTAGCGAGCTGGACTGGAAACTCTACGGACACCGAAGGAAACTATCTACTGGAACCAATATCTCTACTGTGATTGGACCCATGGAGTGTCCGCAAACCTACTAGGTATCGGGAACCTCAAAGAAAGTCTACCCGATTCGAGCAAGTCATCGTTTATTGTTGAATATTAACAAACACCAAGATGGAAACAGAGCAGAAATACCCTTCCCGCATTCGACCTTACATCGTGTTCCCACCAGAATATCCAGATAATTTCACGCCTGTCAAGTTTGGCGTGGAACTCACCACCTAAAGTCCTCCATCGCGTTGCCGGGATGAGATGCTTTTCGCGGTATTGGCGAATGGCCTCTCCTCCCTTCTTGATGTGGGGTAGGGATAGGGGTAGAGATGAGGTGAGCGCGGCGTCTGTGGATGAGAGTCTAGCGATGAGCTCCAAGTTTCCCGTTGGGATTTTAGGGATGTTTTACTTGCGTGGCAGCTGAAGACGATAATTATTATTCCAACCCTGTATTCCACCAACTGGACTGGAACTCAAAGAGTAAGCTTGCCAGCTCCAACATGGCGCATCTGGAACCTCCTCCTCACAAAGATGATGTACCAAGCCCATCAAGTCATTTGTCCTCCCTTGCAGGTTGAGCATCGGATGTTCGCACCCCAGAGCCCCTAAGAAGGATCTTGATATCCCGAGAACATGCTGGTGCGTGCCTAGACAAGGCCCAACGGTGGATCTCGTTCGTCCACCTCACCAACCCTCTAACCCCATTTTCCTCGGTGCAGTCGCCGCCTTTCAGCCTCCTCATTTGGCACCCACTCCACTTGTTACTTCCACGAACGTTGCCATCCCCATCTGATGGCTCTAGTACCCAGACAATAAAAGCCGACCCCACAAAAGTGATCGCGTAATGTCGAATGTCGGAAATCTCCTTGATGCCCCAACTGGTATTTAACAGCTCCAGGGCCTCCTTGCGGAGGCAGTACCGGTTATAGAGGGCGAGAGCGCCGGCAGAGAGCGCCTGGGTGATGGCGACGTCTGCCGGGACGTTAGTTCTCTTGAACTCGATTGTGAGATAGGGGCACGTAATGGAGCCCTTCACAAATGTGCACTCCTCAATCTGGTCCCTGTACTCCGGGTTAAAGCTTTTCAAGGAAAGCCAATAACTGCAGTCCGGTCTTAAATCCCAAGACCAATTGACTCCTTTGCCATGGTTACAGTCGACCAGTGGGGGAATATTCCAATGCGCGTCCTCATCCGGAGCGGAAACAAGTTGCAACATGCGGTCTAGGCGCCAGCAGCGGTCTTTCAATGCTGTGGTCGATCTCGGAGTTCTGAGGAAGAAAGTCTCCTTTGCGAAGGTGGCGAACTCCTCCTCACACAAATTGAGCAATTTCATCTCCCTGTATTCGGTAGCGGTGCTCTGGAGCGTGGGTTTATCCATCGATACCCATACATCGACGTCAGAAAGCCCATCGAGGCTACGGTAGTCGACCTCGGACCCGTCCAGTGGTTCCTCGGTGCCGAAATAAGCGTACGCCGTGTGAGACCTCGTTTTCTTGGCATTGACGAATATCCCGCGGGGGTGGAGGACAAGTTTTCGGAATGCTGGGCCCCTTGGAGTAATGGACCTCGATGCGGTTGGAACGGTGCCTTGATGGTCGACCGTGTCTTGTTGTGTGCCTGTGTCTTGCTCGGCGATTGTGTTGTGAGGGGTGACTGTTCCGTGGTCGTGATCGCTAAGGGGAACTGTCTCGTGAGGGATAGATTCTGAGGCCAGAGTCTCAATCTCAACGGGATCCGGGTCTCTAGTGATGAGGTTACCCCCTCCACGTCCCCCGCGCCCTCCACGCCTGCCACGCTGGCCACGGTTGGATGTGTCCTGCTGAGGCATATTTCCTCTTTTGACCTTTACCCAGAGCTTTCTGATGATCTCGGGATCTGTGTCTGGGATGGAATGGGATCTAGGGAGTGTGGATGAGTCTGGTGCTTGCATTTTGTCCAAGGAGATTGAGTGATGGGATAGCAGATTGTTCATTGTTGTTGAGGTAGATGAAAGAAGCTTCCTTTAGGGAGTTTTTATTGAAAGGCGTGATGTTTTGTTGTGAAAAACTGAGTTCCTTTGAGAGAGTGTGTAGAGTTCTTATGGTAAAGAACTGGTGATATGTGATCTCAAATCTCTAAATATCAATCTTTACTGGAGGAACTCTAGGTATATCCTGGAACAAGTACGTAATATACTCTTTGAGAGATGTTCCAATAGGTGAGATAGAGCCTGAGGAGTAGCACCTTCCTCATCGAGATCGTTGAAGTAGGTTATGGGTGAATAGAGCATGCATGGTGTTGTGACAACCTGTGAGAGCGCTTTGACTTGCTCTCTTGAGGTAGTACTAGGAACCGATCCCTTGGTTTGGTGGCTTGGGGTCCTTGGACCCAGCCACGCTTGGGCTTGATTTAGTTACACACGGCAGTAACAACAAGGTCGTCGGCGTCGAGTCCTGAGCATCGGGCGGGGACCCATTTTCTCCATTGACGCCATTCTCTTTACGCAACCCTTGACAACGAGGGCAACAACCATGCAGTTTTTCTCACTACCTACAGAGATACGGCTCAAGATTTACAAAGAACTACTTGTATCCCCTAGACCCATTGTCTTCGTCCCGGCCTATGACCTTCAGTTGCCTCCCCTCGTCCAGTCCGACCCGGTTTGTCTTTGCCCCGCACTCCTCCGCGTCAACAAGAAGGTTTACATGGAAGCCATCCCGTTTTTATATTCTCACAATCATTTTCGATTTCCCAACATCTTTGTTCCACCCCCTCCCTTTACGGACGCTGCTACCATCGCCCCGATTATTCGCCAGATTGGATCTCAAGCAAGTCTTATTCGCAATCTCTGTATTAGCTTCCCAAAATTCCAGAGCGACGGGCAGGACAGTGATATCAGCATTCGGCAACCGGATGTTATAAATCTGGAACTCGTCCGAGATGCCTGTACAGGCATCACTACTCTTGAACTATTGATCCTGGCAGATGACGCCCTCGCTCTGGATTCTTCTCCTTTCTTAGCAACGGCGCTAGCCCTGCTCGAGATGCACCTCGAGGCTATCCTATCCCTAGAGAAAGTCCTTGTCAATTTCCGGGCGTACAGCGTGGCGGATCTTGCCTATAATTTCCTCGCGGAAGCCCACCGACGCGGATGGGTCATCATGTTGTCGTGCGAATTCACAAACGCCGTATAAAGAATGGTTAGACCAGTTGATGAGAGCTAACGCGGAGTTCATAACAGATCGGATGACGAGGTCTATATCGAACAAGATGCCCTGCTCAATTTACTACGAGAGGCAAAGGAGGACGATGTGTGACAGTGGTTGAGATGCTTGGTGGTGGCGATTGAAGCAGGGCAACGTGGAGTAGTGAATGATGTTCCATGTTTGTGTGGCGGATGGGCGAGCGTATCCGGACTTGCAACGAGTCCGTCCTCTGGGGCCAGTCTGCTGTGGGTGGTGCTGAGCAATGGGAACGGGATAGACTCAATGTTCAGGACTGTTGTAGGAAACAACGAACATTTCCTGCCTCGCAAGCATGGCATATTTACATCCCGTAGTCTTCACCACGTTCCGGCGCCGTCACAACATAGCCGAGAAATTAGATGGGTCGACCTATTCCAGTGCTTCCTCGATACCCCCCCTCTGTCACCCTCAGTGTGGCCGGAGTTCTTGATCCCGAATTACCGAGATCGCAAACACAACCCAGCTCACGATTCGGGTTTGAGCGACACCAGATGGGGGAACGTGCCTCCGAAACACCAGCTCTTTTGTGAATCATGACCGGGAGGGCGCTAGCCTTTCTATTGCGATTACTACTACTCTGGTTGGAGTTAGTGTGATAAGGAGAGCTTGGGAGAAAAGCATATCACCGAGTTGAACACCTCGGTTGACAACATCGGAACCTGTTAGGCTTTAGCCCAGTCAATAGTCATAACAAAGTTCAGCGATTCATGTACAAAATTTGCACCCTTAGGGCGGCAGACTAAATGGAACAATTAGGCGTATTTATGCCACAGCCACTTGGTCCAAATTTACCAAGCTCGACAAGACGCCCAGACCGTGGAACTAAGACCGACTCGATACAATGTCTAGTCCTAAGTATCACATAAGTTGATGTAAATACACTTACAAGAAGATCAAGATGGTGGCCCGTTTACATTTGCAACTTCCATGGCGACAAATGGCTAATGGCCTTAGTACGATATTTCAACCTTAGGCAGTTTCCCAACGTATTTTTCGAGACCCGCCATCAACTCCGCAATCTCCTCCTCACCCAAATCCTCAGGAATATCCTCTTCACCTTCGACGGGCTCCTCCTTTACTTCCAAGACCTTCCTGCGCCTCCGCTGTCTGCCCGTGAACGCTTGGTCGAGCCCTGACGTATGGCCGATCAGGAGGAACTGCGTCATGTCGTAGTCAAGATGACGAGGCTCGGTCGGGATCCACCGAAGCGAACGGAAATCATTCATGATACTGCCAAAACCGTCAGTAAGACCATGTTGGCTTTTCCAGACCCTGATAACGGGGCTTCCTCACTCTTGAGGGTACTTCGGCCCTTCTGGAAACGCGACGCCCTTCGGCGCGGGGTATTCCGGGTTGCGCGTACTGATTGTAAAGTATCCGCGCGGCTTCAATCCCATATCGATCTGGGCCTCGCCCAGTTCCTTCGGCTGGGAGAGGATGTAAACAAGGTTGTTTCCCCTGCCCCCCTTGGACAGCGCGTATACCCCAGCTCCTATGAGCATCGCAGCAGGTATTTGCCTCTCACCGCGCGTCTTAGTGTCGTACCCCCGAGCCGACAAATCCTCCTGTGTGGCTTTCGAATACGGTTCGTTGCCTTTACCCACGAACCCAATCCACCGCTCTCGACCTGTCATAGGCAGAATCTTTTTGGGGATGATGCACACTCTGCTCTTGCCGTCATCGCTCAAGGGCTCGTCGAAGTTCTCAATTGGCCGGAGCACAATGTACGAGCGGGCCATGTCATCTACACCCTGCGGAGCTTGTTGTCCAACGCGAGGGCGGAAGTAGAAATAGATGATACCGAGTTCGAGACAATGGGGCAGTAACGGGTGCTTGGACGACTGGCCCTGATTCTGTGTTGTGACACCCTCTTCTTGCTTCACCCCAGTTGCTTCAGTCTCCTCCCTTGATGCATAACAAAAATTAGCTATCAGCTATCAGTCGATGGTAGGTGGCGAGGGAAGATAGTTACGCTGGCAGCGCTTTCAATGAATCGGGTACTTGGCCTACTTCATGGCGGGCGAGGAAATCTCCATCTTGCTCTTATGTCCTCCAGATCCCTTTGCTTGTTTACGCGGTGGCTTCTCAGCGGGGTCAAGGTGCGTGTCGTGCTTAGAGGCAGTTTCCGTAGTAGCAGTCTCAGACGGTTCTGGTTGATGAGCCATAGATCGTGTCCTAACCATTTTTGCGGTTGCAATGTGGTAATATCGGATCAGTGGAGGTCTTCAAACGTCAAGAGAGTTACACTTGGACGATGTTAATTGATAACTAGATTTATTTTATGAGGAAGCGTTGTTCAAAATGTGTAGAAATACTCAGTCTCCAGTTGTGATGGCTTCCATGATAATGACGTCACCGTCCGTCTCACTGAAGCTCGTATGATGCCACCTTCTTCGCCTTGTCTTCACGCTTTTGCCTCAGTCCGGCCAGCTCGATATAGTCTTAGCTCTGGCATTATTGATTTCGTAAGCCGCCAAGATCAGGTCGGAGACAACAATGAAATTCTGCCGTTGGTTTATTCATTTCTCATTCATTCTCATATCCTAACCCAAGTCTCATGCGAGTAAATGCATCTATTGTGCCATTTCCTGCTTGGTCCATGCACTGCTAAAATCCAAAAGTCTATATAAGATCAAAGTGCAAGATATAACGGTTTATCGAATGCCGAAATGTCCAGAATTTACCAGTTAAACGCCTCTTGGAAATATTCTATCTTGCGGAAACCCTTACCTAACATCGCGACGACCGCCTGCCGCGAGTCATCCGCCATCTTGGCCGGCCCGCACGAGATAATGGCCAAGCTTCCGCCGTCCGAGCTATACGCGGCGTATTCTACCGTCGAGTAGACGTCAGGCCTGCCGGGAACGGCATTGACCTCCTTTGACCACTCCGGAGGCCCGTCATCGTCGCTATTGTTCGAGAAGCCCCTAGTAAGGAAGACCTCCATGTTGATCTTGCCGTCGAGCAATCCTGCGGGGATGTCGTGGCGTAGCACTTCCTCGACAAATGCGGGTTCCCTAACCGACCAAACGATCGTGACCGACTTGACGGTCAGGGCGCGGTTGAGCTGCTCGAGGTAGGATAACGGTACTACTATCCCGCTACCTCCGACGATAAACAGCAGGTGTTCGAATTTGTCAAAAGCGTGCGTCGAACCGTACGGACCCTCGATGAGCACGCGAGCTATCGTTTCCCCTTCCGCCGCCATATTCCGTATCCTAGCCGTGAAGCTGTCGTACGGACGGATGAGAAAAGTCATCGATGCCTCAGCCTCCTCCTCGGTCGGGTCGCATTGATTGTGCAGATCCTGCTGGCGAGGGTCTCCCTGGAGGAGAGAAACACGCTCCATCTGCGAAACGTCTCGCTCAGGTGTCGTATATGCCATCGTGAAAGGATGGCTCTCCCAGGGCCGGCTAGCATTGAGTACATAGATGTAATAGAATGTGCCAGGAGCTGGCTTATATATGCTCGTCGAGCAAGGGACGACGAGTCGAACAGTATTGGACTCGCTGTGGTACGTCATCTTGGCGCAACTGTCCCAGAACCGAGGGTTGAAAGCGAATACGCGGGACAGACGAAGGAGTCTGTCGCCGAGCCATATAACGACGCAAATCCACATCGGCGCGTCGAACTGGCCGTTAAAAATGGAAACATGTCTGTTGTCCCGGTTAGCTGGGAACTAAATGATGCATCGACAGGAATGTTCTCAGTTCCTTACGCAAACATGGTTATGACAACGATTATCGACAGAACGATGTGCAGGGCGAGAAATGCTTCATAAAGCTGCCGCCGCATCCAAAATACGGAAAAGGCAAGAATTGCACACATAGAGATGGTGGCCTAGAGAGACGACTTAGTAGCTGTCACTCTGTCGTCGGACGACACGGCAGGGAGACAGAACTTACAACTTCCCCTGTCCACCAGAAATATTCCGTCCAGTACCACCCAAACAGCGGCCAGCCGCCGTCTAAGATTGAATTCAGCTAAACAGTATACACAGCAAGCTTGGTGCAACAGGGATCTTACCGTCAAATACCAGAACGGTGTAGCCGATGGAATGGATCACCGCCTGCAGGGTCGCGACTCTGGCAATCCACCGATGGAAGTTGTTGAACGTGCCGAAGTGCCATCCCGTAAGCCCCATCAGCAAATTGTTCCTCATTCCGAATATCCAGATGAGGGGAAAGTTTGCAACGGACAGGATACCAGTCCTGTCAGCGACGTAGCGCCAAGATTGCGTCCATATAGTGGGGAAGCTGGAAAAGGTTAGAGAAGGGACAGAATCAAGACAATACTATGGACAGTCGGACGAAAGGAAGTGAGGGCAAGTTCACATGGACGTACTAAAGATTTCCCACGAAGATCGGATACCCTGTAACACAAAGAAGGGTATTCACAGCGATAAACACGAGGATGATGAGCGACTCTACCCGCGGCGGGATGGTGCACCACCCGACGTTTTGCAGGCACTTATATCCAAAAGTTGCGGGTACTGTCACAAAGCGCTTCAGGTACAGTGACGGATAGTCGAGCGGGCGTGGCTTTACTTGCGAGGTCAACGGCGCGAAAGCCTCTTCTTGCTCATTTATGGGGATCGGTCGTGGTTTCGGTTCGGAATCGCGGATGATGGGGATCAGGCGGAAAAGAATGCCAATTATCATCGCACCGATCCAAAATGCGAAGACGGCGAGTCTAGTTACGACGATTATATTAGAGCCACTCTCTTGATATCCGGGTCTTCTTCCGAGACAGGGCCTTACGCGTATAGGAGGTGGCGTCTGTGCACATAACCTACAGCCGACTAGTCCAGACGTTAGCACACGCATGTCCCCAACTACCGGCATTTTCGTGCATCGCCCAAATGTAATGAGATGACTGTACCAAAGTATCGCTCGCCAGCTTGAACAGCGGGCCTGACGGGAGAACCACTTCAGCCACGGAGCCCTTCGGAGGATGGTCGGCCGGGTCTATCTTCGGTATCCTCGCGAAGTCTTCCTCCGTATACCCGGCGATGAGATCGAACGACGGCAGCGACGAGTTATACGATGTCTGGCAAGTTTCGTTAAGCGCACGCAACCCCGAGACGAGGTCTTCATCGGGACATAATCGGTCGGCGCATAGGTAGAGCGAGGTAATGGCCAACATGCCGTGGCACCGTCTCGCCCAGTATTCCGCGTCGGGCGGTGTATCGTCGAAGGGGACCTGGCTCAGCCATAGCTGGCAGGTGCTGAGGCATGGCCCTCCAGACCATCCGCCAACAGCGAGAGCGAGTTGGAAGCGGGAGAGACCCAACACCAGCATCCAGAGGCCTGGACGCTGGGATCGGAGCCTCATGGTGAAGAGGGCCAACAGCAGGCAGACGGGAATCGAGGACGCACCGAAAGCCAAGCCGGTTCCACGCAAGGACCCGGGAGAGGACGAGAAGGAGGCGTGCGTGCGTGAAATTTGGGCGACAAATTTAGGAGCGGGAGAGCAGCAGGCGTATCTTATCAATCAGATCTAAGCCCAGCCCACGTGCCCAGACCCGACATCGGCAGGGGCTGGGAAGATTAGGTAAGCGGCGTTATCCATTCAATTTTCCTCCTCTTGCTCCCCTCCTTCCTTTGTGTGGATCATTGGATTGTATCGCATGACACGGACGAGAAGGACTTTGTTTGGATGAGACGATACCTAAGCTAACTTACTCCGTCCTGCTCCGGTGCCTGCCCCGCTCGTCTGGGAAGATGTCAACGTGGGGGGGATTGCCGTGATGCATTACTGTCACCACAGGATCGGATTCGGGAAAGAATCCGCGAGGGTGAAGTTGCCAGGTGAAGTACAGCTATGCCGGGTCTGCTTTGGTAGGCGTCAATAGGAATGAAGAACAATGGTTTAATTCCGAAGCAAGGCCCGTAGAAGGGTCTTCATGGAGGAGTATGAAGCGTATTCGTGAGACTGCATGAACTGCCTTCGACAACTGGATCACAAAATGTTGCGAAAAAAACATTGCCGTTTGACCAGGGCAAGCAATATCGGACGTCCTGGGCCACGACTGACTCGTCTTGTCTCCGCAGATGGGAGGGATTTTTGCCAGCAACGAATTCTTCATCCTTCCCAACACTGTGCACGTCAGCCATCAACCATCGCATGGTTCTGCCGAGTCGATCCACTGAGCTACACTACTTATAGTTAGAATTGGCGCGTGGACAGAGCCCACTCGGTCGAGGCCTGGTACGTTCCGAGCCTCTTCGTGCCCTGCCTAGTACCAAGTCTGATGTGGATGAAGCACGTGAGAAAGACTCGAGGACACGACGGTCCCTCTTTGCAGGCCCATTTTCAAGTGGCTTTGAGAGGGGATTTCTGCTGGCGAAGCATCTCGGGTTATCAGACCAATTCTGGTTGTCCCTTGTCCCTACCTGCAACGGCGGCGTTACATCGCGTGTCTCCTGCTCTCCACCACAGACCTTGGCATTGGCATTTTGGGGCTTGCTGGAAAGATTGATAAGATTACCCACTTTGAGTGAAGAAATTCGTCGTGCACTAGAAGCTCTTTACCAAAATAACGGGGGCTGGAGAATAATCTCGCACACCAAACATGTTCTCGAATAATCCGAATATGTTATCGATCGAGCACGTAAATTTCGATAGTGCTGTTTGTGAAATTCGTTGTTAATCCTACGCCAGGGTCTCATTCGCTACTGGGCCCGGATCAGGCTTCTCCAAAAACGCGCCTTCGGCAAGCGCGAAAGTCCTCCCATGAGACGTTGCTCCAGTGGTAGCGTACATTCCGTATATTTGTGGGAGGACGTTGTTGTTTTTGTCTCTCGCTAGCCTAATGCTAGCAGTTGACCATGTGGATCTTCTTGCCCGTGCGTGTACGATGAAGAGTCTATGATCAATACTTACTCTTACCTCTTTTTACTGTCTATTGGGGTTTTTAGAGTGCCCATTGATTTACCAATGGATCCAATTTACGTTCTTACTCAACATTTGGGTTCAATGAAGCCTGATCCCAGTAGTGTACTTTCCGGATGCCTTGTCCATAGTGTTGATGATGGAAACGAAGCGAAATATCCACGGAACTGGAGTTCCATTGTCAGAACCCTTGTCCCAGGAGTCACATAAGCCATGAGGAATTAGGCATGGTAATGATTCATATTGTAGCCTAGCGCCAGTTCTAAAAGGTGAGATAATTTGATCATACCAGCAAGGACGAAACTTGGACCATTAGCTAGTCCAGATATTTCCTCTCCTTTGTGACACCTCAACTCCATTCACCATCATTCAGACTGTTTCGCGACCAGAAACAATGTGTAACTACAGACAGGTACTAGATTTCGCTAATGCCCCCCAAAGCAAACCTCTTTTTTAACATTAAGACATGCAGATCGAACTCAAGTGCGGCCACATCAAGCGCATCGTGGAGGCGTGGTGCGAGGACTACTGCAAGACAGAAATACGATGCCCTCCTAACATTGTCCACTGGGAATATCGGGTCGATAGCGTATGTAGTACGTCTTCCCGTGTCCCTAGTAGCCAGGAACCCGATTAACTGACACTCTATCAGGGGGCTGCCGACCACCCAAGCCCCTGCCCCCTCAGTGGGAAGCGATGATTAGACGCGACAGAACTAGCCTTCGTCTACGCCAAGGCGAGGGTGGGATGGCGCACAACGATCGACTAGTAGAAGAGGCTTAGCGGAGCCGTGTTATCAAGTTTCACAAGTCGGTTTTCCCCTTTCTGATTCAGCCAGTTAGCATCAAAAGGAAGAGGAAAGTAAACTAACGCATCGGCTTTCTCAAGTGATTTATGGCGCCATATTGGGAATTTGGGGTCTTACACAGGTTCAGAAATTTGAAGACCATGTGGTCCGCGTCGAAAGCAAAGGTTGGGGCCGTCCATTGAGGCGATCGTTTCTCGTCAGGAATCTTGTGGCCAACATATCCCGATCGGCCAAAGTCGATAATAACCAAAGATCCATCTGATCGAGACAATATGTTGCCGGGATGAAAATCATTATGGACAACGTGGTTCTTGTGCAGTTCAGCCATGGCCTTGAGGATATCATCCTGGCGATTCCGCAGGTCGCCTAGTTCAATCTTGAAAAGTTGCTCCATACGAAATCCGAACATGCCTTCACTGTCAACGAGTGGCTGCGGATCTACCGAGACAACAGGGGCTCCCTTTTCTGAAAGAAACTGTAGTATGTGGAACTCGTCTTCGATCATTCGCCGCTGTTGCCTGGTGGCAGCGACTTTACAGACCGGATAGCCGTCAGGCCGATCTAGCATCCGCAAATGGGAGTCTGCGCCATAGCAAATCGCTGTAGACTTGGCCCAGAGCTCCTGAAGCTGAGGGTCGTGCTCGACCGGCGTCACCGAGACATCGGATTCAGGCAACCTTGGGAAGTTGGTCGTGTCGGGCTGCTGCCGCCAATTACCAGTCCAGCAGATTCTATATTCTTGGCGATTGAAGTCGACGTTTATTGCCCATTGCCCGTCGATCTTGTAAACGTCGGTTATCTGGACTGCCATTCTGTTCTTCCGTTTTCGAAGATGCAGAGGCAGAAAGACCGGTTTTCACAAGTGCGGCTACTATGTGTTACAGAGCAGGCAGCAATTGAATCTGATTCTTGAAGCATGTGGAAGAGCCAAATGACCAATCGGACCTTTCTATTCACCCACTGCACTAGCGTGGCACAAGACGCAGCGTACTCCGTTCTTCTCACAGATCCCATGGCATCTCTGCACTCTATTTGGTGAACGGTTTGCAATTGGGCAAACAGCAAGACAAATCCGATAGCAATCGGCTACTGTCATTAATCCTGCTTTCCGTCGACTTCCTTACTGGTACTATATCTTGTCTCGGTTAGTGATTCAGCTTGAATGGCTTTCGCTGAAGCTGCTTGCAGCATCCGCGGTGGAAAAGAATGGAAACGCGACTGCCTGATCGAAGTGAGAGATGGAACAAGGGAGCTGCCTACACGTGGGCGCCGAACATTCGTGTAAGAAGTCCATTAGTCTTCCGAGACTTAAGCCTCCTGGGAACAGTTATAACTACTCCCTCCTGCCATCTATCACAGGCTCCTAGTAATCTTCATACCAGGTTCATCGCGATTTTTTTTCTTGCCAGCCATTCGAGCTCCCTCGAAAATGGCGAACCATTCTGGAGCGAATGACACCCCAGCGGCACCGTCCGGCCCCGGCCCCTCTGCTGGGCTGTCATCGGCAGAGAGGAGGAACCCAAAACCTACCTTCATCGGCCGAATTATTTGGGCGGCTCCAGTCGAGAGAGTCGAGCGACGTGATCAACCATTCCCATTCCTCGCCCTACCCACCGAAATTAGGCTTCAGATATACCATTTTGCTCTGGCCGACCGGCGCCCCATCCCAATCAGCAACCTAAGGACTTTCCGCTGTTACGAAGAGGGGAAACCGAGGCCGAAGACGGCAATACTGCGAACGAGTAAGCTGGTCTACCGCGAATCTCTTCCGATACTCTACTCCGCGAATACACTCCGTGTACTTTCGGCAGAAGAAATGGTGGAATTCACAACACACATTGGTCCGACGAAGATCGGGTTTGTAAGGTCGCTAGAGATTTGGATGCCATGGCGGACAGACATTTCCATTTCCCCGTGGTTGACATTGCTCGATATTCTGGCTAAGGAAGCCACTGGACTACGAGTCATTTGGCTTCACTGCCAGGCAGAATTCGAGAATTTCGATAGGCGAGGGGCCCCTAGGCCTGTACTAACTGGGGGCGTTCAAAGGGAAGCGCCAAATTGGGGTCAGGGTGCCAGCACCCTCTTTGTTCATGCTCTCGCAAAGATTGCAGGGTTGGAGAAGCTGACAATCTCCGGCCCTTACCCTGAGAATTGGCTGTCATATCTGAAAGAGAACATGAAGGTCCGCGTACTAAGAGAGGAATCTGGTTACCCCGCGGAGTCAAGCGCTGTGGACAACTCCACCCAACCTCCGTCGTGGGAGTCCTCGTATCTGTCTTATCTGTTCGCACGTACCGCGGTTGATGCGGAGGTAATTCCGTGGGGTATGTGGTTAAGTAGATCAAGATTATAGAGTACAAATATCCATGAATCGAAATTCTTGGTTTGCTTGCTGTTTAAAAGCAGTCCATGGGTAATGCATGTCCTCTTTGCGATAGTTTTGCCTGAAAAGCAATGTCCTGGACCTCTATATAGGGTAATGAGGATGATAGCCTCCTCGCGCGATATTGTTACCACCCAAAATAACTTCACTTTCGTCCCTCAAATGCCGAGCAATGTACTGTCAGGGAAAACACAGATCTCTAGCTTCTTTTTGGAACTGGTGATATCCAATTGAAAGTCGACAAGCTCAGTAGAGTGGTTTAAGGCTACATCAAGATCTTGGGTTAGATAGAAGGTCTCAGGATAGACAGGGTTGGAAGTAGAGCCACCAGTCCACGTTCCCCCCCTTTCTAGACTGCAGCTAAGAGTCGCCCCTAGGCTGGCTTTTCTTGATGATGGAGATATTGTTTCACAGCTTATCGTTAATAGCCCTTACTCAAGGCACCAGGGGCGGACGGCTAAATCTGTCAATTTCCGCAGCTTCGATCACCGTACCTAATAACAGACCAAGGGAATCACACGAGAGCAGAGACATGACAAAAACCGTCTGCACAACGCGCCTCCTTTTACCAGAGTTACAGAATACTGACATGGCCTTGGCAGAGATTACCGCGCGTAGCCCTACCGAACCGCTCACCACCTCGACCCAAGCCGTCCAGCTATCCTTCTCTTCTTCAGATACCCGGTAATCCGGTCTTGGAGTATGTGTGAGCCACGGAAGGGAAGGGAAGACCTGGCGCAGAAACGATCTGTTTGTTTTCGTCGGCCCACCTCTCTATTTCGGACCCTCCCCCTACCTACGTATATTAGCTGACTTGAGCTGCACCTCAGTTAAAGCTATACTTCCCCCCCTGGAACTGGCTACGAGGCTGCATTACGCTAGGTGGTCGGCGGCTTTTCGGGAGTGCCCAAGCTTCATGGAGGTCTACTTTGTGGACCAAAGCCATCGCTATCTTAGACGTTAGCACTGAAAGGGATATTTTCTTCCGCACATTGCTCCCAGCCGGGAGATATATCTCAAGTTATAAGAAATATTGGTCAAGTGGTGAAGGCTATCCTGCAAGACGGCAAGAGCATGCCCCTTTTTTTATGAGCTTAACTCTGCTCTGCTATCGTCATACATCCATAGGGGGGATGAATACAGGGGGGGGATGGGAGTGCTTAAGAGAGGTTGCTTTTTCAACCAACCAGTCGGTTTGTAGCGACTCTTTATCAAATGGGAATTAGATCTCGCATGGTGATTTAAGAGTCCAATACCAGCCATGCTATGCTGCTCATGTAAGTTTTATTCCTAGAAAATACGCACCCCGTCCATCTCTTCGCAGAGGCACTGCATGGATAGCCTAGAACAGGGTCGAATACGGGTGCATTCGACCTCGCTGTTTCGTGGTAACACCGGTTCGGTGATAATCACGTTGACAGGTCCGTCTTCCCCGCAGTAAGATTAATTAACAGGCAAATGCCGACGCCCACTGCTCGTCCGGCAATCACTATCTAAAGCCAGGATATCGTATATTTATAGTGTGCATTGCCCCGTTTCTATCTTAATCGGACACAACAAGCTCACGCCATCGTCCAATCGATTCTCGCGATGCCCTCCCGACTCGGTCACATACGGTCCGGTGGGCCCGACCAAGGCGGGATTATAATTAAGGCGCCACGTCACCGGAAATTAATCCAGGTTATGGCGGCTATGAGCCGATTCGCAGACGGCTGATATCCGTAGCACACCAACTTCTTCGCTCTCTCGATACTGGATATGAAAGGAAATAGAGTTTTTCTTGTTCAGGCTGGATAGGCCGGCTAGAAAATGCCGAGATCGAGAGGTTAGGCTAGATCCTGACGTATAAGGAGTGAAGTGGGAGACGCCAGGGTGGAGGGTTTGTGTGTCTGCCCCCTTTTCTCTCTGCTTCGCCAACCTTTGTGCATACTACGAGCTTCCTAACTTGTCGTCGAAAAAAAAAAGCAAGGCTCACAAACCAAGATGAAGTCGTCGCTCTCCGCGGGCCTCGCGCTCCTCGCGCTCGTCCAGGCTGGTCTTCGCTTCCCCTGCTCGACCTTGACCTTCCAGCGTCTCGATCCGGCCGGTCAGCCCGGTGCCCTGCCATCTGCCCACGTCCACCACATTGTCGGCGGTAACGCCTTCAACGTCACCATGGAAGGCGATGTCGGGGAGAGGGCCACCTGCACGACCTGTCAGATGTCGGAGGACTTCTCGAACTACTGGACTGCCACCTTGTATTTCAAGGATCCCAACAACGGCAGCTACCACCGCGTGCCGCCAATTCCCGTCCAGCCGCTCCTTGGTGGCTCAAACGGCGCCCAAGGCGGACTTACTGTCTACTATACCCAATTCGACCTCAGCAGGGATAACTTGAATCAACAGGCCATCAAGGCTTTCCCACCGGTAATTTTCCCTATTAGTCATTCTTATAACGTCTCTTTTCACGCTTCTCGATTCTAACAGTCTCACTAGGGTTTCCGTATGGTTGTAGGCGACCCTGGCGCGACCTCACTAAACCACGCCGGCCTGAGCTATCAATGCATGACGGGCCAGAGCAGAGGCGCGATTACCAATACCATGCCCACTAGGCCTTGCTCGGGCGGCATCTTCACCACTCACCATTTCCCCGCGTCAGTATTGAACCTTTGTATCCCTCTCCAACGGCTGACCGTATAATACTGACTCGATGTAGATGCTGGGACGGCAAGAACCTTGACAGCCCGGACCACAAGTCCCACATGTACAATACAGTTACGTCGGAGGGCTTCACCAACGCCCCCAAGTGTCCCGCGTCCCACCCCGTACGCGTGCCTCAGGTAACCTTCGAAACCGTCTGGGATACCACCAAATTCAATAACCTCTGGACAAACGGCGCCCCCAACCCCTTCGTATGGTCGTTCGAAGGTGCAGCCACCGGCTACGGAACCCACGCCGTAAGTTACAGTCCGTTAACGTAATGAACGGAGACGAAGCTGACGTGAGGCTAGGATTACATGTTTGGCTGGAAGGGCGACTCTCTTCAGCGTGCCATGGATAAGTCCGAGTGTTTCTACGATGGCTGCGGTTCCATCCAGAAGCAGGCCATGTCTGTGGCCAACCAGTGCACCGTCCCAGATATGGTTGGCGAGACGACTGACGGCTGTAGGTTTTCCAGACGCCCTGGGGTGCTATGAATGACATGATTGCTAACTTGTAGTAGGGCTTACGGAGATCCCCGGAATGGGAGTCATGGCTTAGATTGGTGACAGTCCTGTCTTGAAGCGGAATTTACCTTATTGAATTCTCTCTTTCTATTTTTCAACGCAGAAGATTGCCTGTTTGATGTGGCTGGCAGTATCTTAGCCACCCGATGCTCCACAGTAATCACTTCGCTTCTTGGAGGGTTTACCCATTATTACCGCTCTACCACGGCTCTACGTATCTGGTAGTGGCATTTTAGTAAACAGTTTGAGTTCCTATTTTCGCGGGCCATTTGCTGAATATTTTATGGTGGTGTATACGCTATATGCTGCGTCTATATGTGTGTCTATTCGATACTATGGCTTTGTCTCATGTACATCACCTGGTTCATAGCAAGGACATCTCGAGGGCGCCTGGTGCCTAAAGGCGTTCTTTGAGTTCGTCAAAGAGATTGATAATAGAAGCTGCATGAGAGAAAAAGAGAGTCACTTGGCTCATGGTCTTCGATGGGGGATCCAGGTAATGCGAAAACGAGAGAAGACCTGTGAGGTAGAAGAGGTGGTCCACAGTAGCTTGCCGAGCGTTGAGAGGGCACCCCCTAAGCATCCTGCAGGCAACTAAACTCCCCAAAGAGGATGTGAAATGTACGCAAATTAGAGATACGTCTAACATCTGGCTTGCCTGCTTGGACCTCCCACTTTTACCGGTGAGCCAGAAGCTTAGTCTGGACTGTTGTTTCTGCACACAGTGATGCATGCTGCCTTACAGTAAACGAAGAAATTGTTGCCCAGGTCGCTGGTGGGTGCCCAGAACTGCAAGTTTGGGACAGCGGAGCCTCCTCGCTGAGACATTCTTCTATGCAAACCAGATTCCAACGAGATGGTTTGGATTGGTTGCTACTTGCAGAGCATTTCATTCACGCCCCAGTGCCATGCTCGTGATAACCCTGTTCCAATGCCCATGTCCTTCTGAAGGCATTCATTATTGATCTCCTGGCCGTTAGCCTAAGCCGTCGATATACGGCGTTTACCCGCACATGCCAGGCAAGAATGCCACTGCCATCAGAATCAAGGCCGAACTGGTAATACTCCCTGATTCGCTGAGGGCGGTTGTTGATTGTTGTTCTCATATTCCATATGAAGTAGATGGGCTGGTTGAGAAGAAGCGAAGACTAATCGGGTGTCCCAGACCTCTCGACAGACAAGACAGGTCACACGGCACCAACAGATTAAATTTTGGTTGTGCGTGCGAGTAACTGGTGAGAGAATTTAAAGAGGCTGTTAGGGAGTACGGAGGAAGGATGAGGGCGAGCGCGTGGTGGATGGTCAGCCCAAGATGTGGAGAAAATCGGCCGAAAAGCGTGCCCGGGCACTTAATGTCCCGCTGTCAATAAACGGAACTCGTGGCACGGATACCAGCACTGGCAGTGGCATGTGGCCCTGATTCGCTGCCGGTAGTGCCCAGGCTGATGTGACCGCATGGCTCCGCTGTCGTCGCGGGACCTGTCGTCGTGCGGAACTGGGTATGATGCGCAACTCCACATTGCTTCATCTCAATTTAGACTTTTTAGGTTTAGATGAACCCTCGCCACCCGAAGCCAGAGTGGAGCAGGCAGCCTGTGTGTCCACGGAGTCTGAGACTTTATTATAAAATCGCTGCAGGCAGAATGAAAACACACCCAAGGATGAGGGCGCAAGATACCGGTTTTCCCAACTAGAGTAGGCAGCGGTCTGCCGGGTTAGAGAAATCGATGATAACATTCCTTTGTTACTATATCCTCGTCGGCATTTCAGTCCTCCGTGGTCTTAAAGAGGTGTCTTCAGCGCCTTCAATATAGGAAACGTCCGGGTCCTGCAATGGCCGGCAAGCCTGGAACTTGTATGTTGATTGAATAAAAAAGTTAGCCTTTATTGGAGAACACACAGCCAGGATACTCATAAGTATAGGCTCGATCATACTGGTGCTCCGGGGGTATATTTCAGAGAAACTCCAGTGCCAAGGCTGCGACTAATATGTACAAATATGAAGTTGATGGAAATTCATGGTGATTGGCTGGTGTTTTAATCTATCCTGTGCTCTCATCTATGGCTTGCCCATCCATCCGTGCCAACATCCAATCCCTGGAATCGCTGAAACGAAACCCGCCTAGCCATATTGATTATGCCCCAGACCTGAGGGTTCAGCTTCAGCAACGCACATATATCCTCCATCATATCACAAGCACGCGTATGCGACACTTTCTCTCTTTGTCGAGTGAGGGGGATCCTTCGGGGATTAATCTCCACTCACTTTCCAGACTTGGTCGCCGAGATGGATGAATATCAGATAAACAATTCACCAGCATATTATTCTGCCGACGTCAACGGCATATAGAACCAGGTCACAATAATGGATCCGTCGCCTATGTTATGAGTCGAACGCCATCCCCTTCTGCTTTTGGCCACCGCCACTTTCCCCGTACCACATCCAAGTCCAAAGTCGAAAACGCATCATCATCAACAGCTTGCTCGCCAACATGAAGTGGTTCGCTATCGCTCTTGCGCTCGTCGCGCCATCTGAAGCCTACCTCCGCTTTGGATGCGCGACTCTGAGCGTCCAACGCCTCGACCCCATCGTCGAGCCCGGCGTCATCCCTTCGGCCCATCTGCACCAGATCGTCGGAGGAAATGGCTTCAACGCGACCATGGACCCCGCAACGGACGTTTCTCAGAGGGCTACTTGCACCACCTGCAGCTTCTCTGAGGACTTCTCCAACTACTGGACCGCTGTCATGTACTTCAAGTCTCGTAATGGGACCTACAAGCGCGTGCCGCAGTATCCCAATGCTCTCTTGGGTGACTTGAAGGGAGGGATGACTGTCTATTACCTTCAAGAGTCGTTCAACACGAACGGCAACCAAAAGATCACTGCCTTCAAGCCTGTAAGACCACAATCATATTCTCCTAAACTTATCCACGAATACCAAACTAACATATGCCTCTTAGGGCTTCCGTATGACCGTCGGGAACCCAGGAAGCCCTGACGGGACCAACCCCGGCCTTCGCTACACCTGTCTGCAGAACGTCATGACTAGGTTCCCGGAGACGGCCGAGTTCCCCAAGCAGCCATGCCCGGCCGGCATCATGGCCATCCACCACTTCCCCGCCTGCTGGGACGGCAAGAATCTTGACAGCCCCAACCACCAGGACCACATGTACAACACGGTCAAGGGCGCCTTCACCCCCGCCGGTGCCTGCCCTGCCTCACACCCCGTTCGAACCCCGCAGGTAGCCTACGAGACCATGTGGGATACCTCCGAGTTCAACGACCAGTCCTTGTGGCCCGAGGACGGCTCGCAGCCCTTCGTGTGGAGCTTCGAGGATAGCAAGGGGTACGGAACCCACGGAGATTACCTCTTCGGCTGGAAGGGTGATGCGCTTCAGCGCGCTATGGACTCTGCCCCGTTGCTTAGCAATGGTATCACTACTCAGAGTGTGGCTCAGGCGAACGCTTGCTCTGTTCAGAGCTCTGTTGAGGAGGACATCGACGGATGTAAGCTTCTATCTCTACTCTATCTCTCTCTCGCGGTGAAAGTAATATGATGCTAACCACTCATGCGTTTAGGGCTTACTGAATTGCCCGGTCGGCCAATGTCCGCCGCTTGACTGGATTTGGTGGTGTAGGTACGATACTTTAGGAATTCAAGGCCACGGATCTGGTCTTGGGTGTTGGATGGTGGAGCCCTATCTTCTTTCTGTCGTTTCCGGAAGGTCAATATTGTAGTCTGTCTCGAGTCGCCTGTCAGTAGCCGACTTTCTTGTCTTCGCCTATCCGCCTGCCTCCTAATGAGAGTGGGAGGAAGTGCTAGGCGAGATTTATCATTTTCGAACTAAATTGATTACCATGAAGTGGCCGAGAGCCTAATAGCGGGTTGTTTAGAACCTTAACCACTACAAACCCGTTGTTTCCATCGTGAAGCAGGCCCAAGAAATGTCGTGAGTTCTGAGGATCGCGACCGTGAACTCGGCAATCGCAGAAACCGATCATGAGTGTCAATGTGGTAGTGATGGGTTTCCGAATCAATAGGATATAATAATTCATAGAATAATACAGGGTCTCCCAAGCCAAGGTGTCCATCTTTTTCCCAATTCCGAAGCCACTGCTAGATTATTCGAATTTTGGGGCATTAAAAGCCTTCGGCCCATACCAGGTTCCCTTTACAAATCCTTGCCAGTAGACGAAAGGCTAGATGGGGTATTTCCGTTAGCTAAACTGCCTTTTGACGCAACCCTGATGGCACTTACGAAGAAGTCCTTCTTCAAGTGGTAGAACACCCTCCTGGGCTCTGCCTGGTCCCCCAGCACGTTCGCGAACGTCTCCTGGGGCACACCGCCGTACTTGAACTCGCAGAGCATGAGCTCATTGTGGCCAGTGAGGAGGGGGCAGCTGGCGTAGCCGTCGTATTCGGCCTTGGGCTGCTTGCCATTTATGACGGAGAGGAGGTTGTGGATGAGGACGGGTGTTTGAGATGTGATGGCGGCGGCAGTCTTGCTGTTGGGTAGGCTTGAAGCGTCGCCGAGAGAAAAGACGTTGGGGAACCTGTATAAGGGTGTCAGTAATGGCTACTAGAAGACGCTTCATGGGAATATTTACTTGATGTGTTGGGTGGTCGCCTTGTCCACAGCGACCCAACCTCCTTCGTCAGCTGGACGACCGCATTAGCATACGACCGTCTAGGATGGTTCTCTACAGGGGAGCGACTAACCAAGAGGCGACTTGGCGACCCAGTCCCAGGGCTTCTGGGGAGGAACTACGTGCAAGAAGTCGAAGCCCCTCTGTACCTCCTTCCCACCATCGGCCAAATTCTTAAAGGTGGCAACCTTTGCCTTGGGGTCAACTGCGACAAGGTTATGTTGGAAAAGGCCCTCGACATTGCGTTCTTGGCGGATCTCTTCCAGGGCCGCGTTGTACTTTGCCACGCCGAACATGCCTTTTTGCTCCCGTTAGTACCTCCCCAAAACATGATATATACCGAAAGAAAGGGGGGAGTGTTCCATGGGCTCTACGAACTTGGTGTACCAGTCGCAAATGTGGCATCGACGCTGTCCCGGACTCCGTCTCGGGACCACTGCGACAACGCCATCCAGAGGACTTTCTGAGGGGCACCGGCACATTTGATAATGCCGGCGGGCTGGGTAAAGATGGCCTTGCCACCCTTGAAGGCCTGGATCTGCTTCCACACGTTCTGGACGGTTTCACCCGAGTAGATGGAAGAGACTGCGCTCGTGGGGTCCTGGAGAGCCTCAGTCAGGCCCGAGACGCCAGCGAAGTTTGTCTCTAGACCAGGTGCGACGACCAGGTAATCGTAGGAAACCTCGACGCCCTCGGATGTCTTCACGACGTTGTTCGAGGGGTCAAAGTTGGTGACGTTGAGTGGGTAGTGCTTGACATTAGGTGGGATGACTGAGGCTAGCGGCTTGCTCATTTCATTGAGGGGCTTGAGCCCAGTGCCAACAAGAGTCCATCCGGGCTATATGCATCGTCAGCCATTGCGGTCCAGGGAAACTATGGACTCTCCTCGGCCAGGACATACCTGGTAATGGTGGGTCGTGGCAGGATCGATGATGGCGATGTCAGGCTTCCTGAGCTGAGCATTCCTCGCCAATTGCGCAGCTACAGTGACACCCGCTGTTCCGGCACCGACGACGACGATCCGGTGGTGAGGCTTGGATGGAATCGTCGCAAAGGCCCTCGAAGTGGAAGGGGTGGATCTATACCCAATCCGGGATAAAGCGGCTCTCGAGATCGCGCCGCTGTTCGCCATTTTGGTGAAGATTAATATTATGCTTTGGCGACCACGAATTCACCAAGCAAAAGGCGAAACAAGAAAACACCGTTCCTCAAGAAAGCACAATGGACAGAATCCCCGACGACGAGGGAAGAAATTGAACTTAAAAGTTCTCATTACCAAGCAGCGCTCATTACAACCCCAAAGCGGCAGGCCGGACCGCTGCAGCGGAATTTCGGAGGCTGTCGGCGTGTGCACGTGAAAGCACGCAATCTTGAAGAACTGGAGATCCTGGAAATGGCGACATTTGGTGGCGCTTTCTTTTTGGTATTAGTGATCGAGATCCCACATCCAGCGCGAGGTTTGGTTTGGTGGCTGGGGAAATAAAAATGGAACTTGACAGGGGAGAAGGAGCAGCACTAGTAAAACTCTGTGACTGTTTTCCGTCCTTTCCCGCATCAGCACATAATATTCTTGTCGCCTACAGGCTACACATGCCTCCTGCTAGATAACGATGCCTCTCCACTTCCGACAGCCTGGCCCTAGAGACAGTTAGTGTAGTGTGTCCCGCCTGGATAGGCTCGAAGTTCACCTTGGATTCAGTGGGCCCGACCGTCTGAAACCGGAACGGAGATGATGGCCGACAATCGTAATGTTCACCGGAAGGCACGTGCTTCTCTTCCCTTTCTCGCTGCTTTCGTCTTCAACTTGCTCTGGGGTCAAGCTCACTTCCTAAGAAAATAGCCAAGGAAAAATCGAACGCTCCTTCGGGCAAGAGCTCCCTCCTCAATAGAGAGTCGAATGGAATAAGCTATCTTCAGACCGTTTGACAATAATGACTTCTTAGGATTCAGGGAAGGTGTATTCACTGCTATGTGGCGTCATCAATTCAAATCTTGATAGCTATAGCCCCTTGGCTTGAAGTCGTTCTGCTAGGTCCACGGACAGGGGAAGGCCATAAAACCCTTTATCCTGGTCCTATTAGACGTACGATGTCGAGCTTGGTAGAAATAGGCTTAATGCTGAGGGAGCGTCTTTAAGCCCCTGTCTCATTACATACGCTCGCGATGCGTGAAGCCATCTTGCTCTGTGACTCTATGTAGTATAGATCGCCATTACCTACCAGAATCCTCGACATTGAGGGGAATGGGGATTCGATCAAACTCACCGAAACTCACGCACTACTCCATCGACGGCTCGGGAGAATTTGCGTCTGATCAACTCGGTGCGGTCGTTCCCAGGAGCGTTATTACAGAAGCTCTGTGTAGAAAGAAGTACGCGTAGAGTGGGAGCACCTACTACTCAGTTTCTCAGCGGATGTGGTGCTCCCCTACTGGTACAAGATGCAGGCGGCCCCTCTAAATAACCTCAAGAATTAGTGGACTCGCTTGCCTCACTAGAATCGGGAAGTAAAACCTCTCAAAACCGAAGGACACGATATAAATAGAACATAGGAAGAAGTTTTAGGTAGAGAAGGACCCTTCTGTGAGCAAGAACTAATCGGTTCACACCCGGGTTCGAATTCCCGCGGCGGGTAGAGCTGTCCTGTTGTGACTAATTCCAGGGAATATCTAGGAATGACGTCGTTTTCTGGCGTGGCTCATATATAAAAGCGCACACTAGCAGGACCAGACTAAGGCTAGACGTCATGAGAGTTCCCCTTTCGGTTACTGTCGCGCAAAAGAATGGTAAACCTTTAGCAATCACTTTCCAAGGAAGGACTCTGATATAGCCAAACTTTAATAATCTTGAATTCTCAATCCACCTGATAAGCACATCTTCAATCACTGCACCACGGTTTCCACCAAGCAAGAAAAGAAAAGAGGACTCACCGTTTCATCACACGGCCCTCCCAGCTCCTCCTCCCTAAGATCCTCCCCTGAAGACGAGAAGAACAGTGTATGACGCCAGCACTCTCATTGCACTGACGTACCGAAACTACACCTCTGTACCATGCTGTATTCAATCAAGTGGAAGCTGAAGCGCCTGTTCCGGCACCTCCGCGGGCATGATGAGAGGCCGGAACCATGGACGGAGAACGACATCAGGCCCGCAAACAACCGCCCGACACTGAATCCTATGGCTACATCGGACCAACCGGTCCACCCAAAATCGGCCCAGGTTCCGAGTGGGCAACGGCCGAGATCAAACGTCAGTGGAGACTTCTGGCCTCTATAGAGGAGTTTGAGGCAACATAGACTCTAACTGGTTGAACAGGACAATTCCGACCATCGCGCCGCTCAGACGGGGAGGGATGACCACGTTCCAGAGTCACAAACATGTGAGGTGCCGTCTCAAGACTCATCCCGGGTCCAACTCAATTCCCAAGATAAGATCCATCCTCAAGCTCGACAACAGCTTGAACCCCGGGTGATCACTCACAATCAGCCGCAAGTTCAGGGCCAAATCCCTCAACAGACCAGATTCCAACTCCCACCCCAAACACAACATCAAACCCTCCAACCCTCCTCCGCGGCCGGGTCAGACTCAAAAGTGGGAACCCCGCCCAAGTTTCCAGGTCTCTACCTTACAGTCCCTGGTTCTGAGCTGGGCCATGGTTCCTCCCCGAACAGGCAATCCTATCACCCTCAATTAGGAGATCCTCATATGGATACACATCATCGAGCTTTCCCACTGGCGCCTGGCCAACCGACGCACGACGAACAGAACAAGGAAAGCCAATCAGGGTATCTCATAAAGTCGGAAGAACCAAGCGTTTATTCGTCGGCAGCAACATCTCCTATCCTCGAAGACCAGGGGAGATCCAAGATACCACTATATCAGGAACCAGTTAACAAGACTATCTACACCACCAACGCCGAGGTGAACGACAGTTTCTACAGCGTTCGCTCACACCTTGATGTTGACTATGACTACGCCACCGACACCAGAGAAGCCGTCACGCAAGGAGTGGTGAAACCGAACGACGAACCGCGCCGAACGCCGTCTGTCCACTTCCATGAGCACAGGACTGTGACTCGGTCGTTCACCGAGCTTAATCCGGCCCTATTACCAAAGCAGCATTGGTCTCGAGACCAAGCAACGGGCAGGGTGGTTAAAACTCCAGACGAGTCTGGAACTCGGCTGATAACATGAGCTCCGAGCGAAGCAAGGTATCAGTAAGGCGTGGGCGTGTTTGCTTCTTCTAATGAATAAAGATTAGTACGAATTTTAGTATTTAATAGTAGGCAAGTTTGGTCCAAGTTGGAAGGGATGGAGGCTTGCTTTTGAGGTGGCTGATTTAGCCGAGGCCTATCGTGTTGGGAAAAGGGATTCAATAACTAGGTTATATATAGTAAAGAATGTATAGTATAGTTTAAGTAGATGATATGCCTAGCTGACAATCCCTCATTGTCAATATTCGGGCTCATGATAATAGTGGTTCACCGTGATCACTCCCCGGTTTGGCCAGTAATGTAATCCGGGAACGACTCATGTCCTCGTCCAAGATTTATAAAAATCCAGGCCACCTACCGATTCAGACTTCACTCCTGGCCTACTAAGCTGACCTGACTCACACTTTGATATTGGTTCGCTGAGCAGCGGGCCGCATCACAGCAAGTAAAATATCATGCTGTGGAAATCTAGTTCTCAGACGTTTTCCATTTCCTCCTTTGGAACTGAGCAGGGGTGGGCAGGGTGAGTGGCAGAGGTTTCTGTTTGAGGCCGCCCGGCTATAGTTCCTCTTTCTACACGCGTTCGGAGTACTAGAAAAAAAAATAAGCGGGAAGGCCACTTGGAGAAGTTCAATCCAGGAAGGCTCCAGCGAGAGTCCCTCGCAGTTACCTTATCAGGCCCCTTCTAATTCCCTCTACTCGACCTCCCGCGTGACTTGTGCGGTTCAAGCGTTCTGTCGCCTCTCGTGAACACGAAGACTCCCACCTGATCCGTTCTCGTCGTCCAGACAAGGACAAGGGCGTAAGTGGGATACTGCCGCCGTTTATTCTCCCCCCTTCACCTGGTATTTTCGTTATTGTCGAGTGGGGTTGATCCACTGGTGAGCTTAACCACGGTGTGTCAGCGAATGTTGCTACTGGTAATCAAATTCCTCCAGGGCTCCTCAGATACCACCATTCCCACCCAAGCGGCCAAACCTTCCACCATGCTACCGCGCATGTTTCCCGCCGCCCGGGGTAGCTACTTGGTTCACCCTCAAGTCCTGGTAAGTCGTGAACTCGGACCATCGCCGGCCTCGTCCACCACCCTTCCAAACTGACACTCGAAAAGGGAAGCCTGGAGGCTCCGCAGCTTAGTCCGGGAGAAGTCAAGCCCTTCATTATCGTCGACCAGGAGCAGGGTGGTGCTGATCGCCGGGGTCTCCGAGTTGTCGTCTCAGATTTTGTTGAGCGCGACGACGTCTTCTCGGCCGATTTCTTAACCGACCTCGTTGGCCTCCTAGGCGATGCTTCCGAGGTCGACACCACCGAGCTGCAGGACGTAGACACAGTCTTGGGGCCTTGGAGCGTCAAGTCTGCGTTTCTCGTAGTGGGCGCGGGCAAGGTCAACATCCCCCCCGGTCCTTATTTTCTGCACGGGAACAACATCCACCAGGCGTGGAGATTGTATCCAGACCACCTTGATGCTCTCTCCGTATCTGTGTATCCCAGTGATATCGACGCTGCAAATGCCACGTACGTCGCCCATTCTTTATTTAGCCAATTGCTGAACTCTCCGACAGTTTCAAGCCGCTGCATTTCCTTGATGTCGAAGGGATATGGAAGGCGGTCGCTGTCCCGAGCAGGCTCTACGATACCCCCACCAAGTACAGGCCTCTGGCGGGCCAGCGCATCACCATCAAAGATAACTACCGACTCGCTGGCGTCAAGTCAACCTTCTCCAGCCGCCCTTACGACGCTACATACGGCCCCGACCATGTAACCGTCGCCTTCGTGCAGAAACTGATCGGGCTTGGCGCCGTGGTCGTTGGAAAATCCAAGATGTCGTCATTCGAGTCGGCAGAGGAGCCAACGGACCAGCGTGGTCGACTTCCACGCGCCTTTTGAACCTAGGGGAGATGGCTACCAGACGCCGGCCGGAAGCTCGAATGGTGCCACTGCGGCGCTGTCGGGGTATCCTTGGCTGGACTTCTGTATCGGGACTGATAGTAAGTGCTAGTACAGAAGCTGTTCGGAGTAACGCTGACAAATGACGCCTAGCTTCGGGAAGCATACGCTACCCAGCCGCTATCGGTGGCCTTCTCGGGCTCAGATACACATCTCACAAGGTATCCATGGAGGGTATCGCCCCAGCTTGCTAGTGAGATGATTGAACCCTAATTATACCGAATCTGGCCACGCTGACTCGCAAAGCGATTTCGATACCGTCAGGCTACTTGGCCGCGACCTCAAGTTCTTCCGGGATATCGTAGCCCTGACAGCAGAGGACACGACGAACGATCCCACCAGGGTATATCGAGCCCTATTATTAAAAACTATTTTTGTCTATCGCCTGACATCCTTCAGCTCCCCAAGAGGATTCTCTACCCAACCGGCTTTCTGCCGTACACTTAGGAGCCCGTCCAGGCCATCCTATAAGAGTTCGTGAAGCAGCTCGAGAGCTACCTCAGCGTCACTCGAGAAGAGGTCAACATCGCCAAGCTGTGGGAGAAGAACCCGCCTCCGGAGGGCGAAGGCAAGACGATCAAGAAGTTCCTAGACAAGGTACGTTAAAAAGTACACAACGCCACCTTAGCATCAGAGTACGTTGCTAATCATTCTGATGTGCAGACTGGGTTCTATCCGTTTTACTATGATGGTTATAATGTGAACAAACAGTTCCTAGAGGATCATCGTGAGAAGTTCGGGAAAGTGTGTATTTTGGGCCGTACATGCGATGGAAGATGTGAGCACATGACCGACCCTCCCAACCCCAGTTCCGCAATCGACGTCGAGGAATGCAATTCCGGCATCGAATTCCTAATTCTGACTTTGTATCTTAGGGAAACCGGTTCCAAGGCCACCTTAAAACAGAAGGAACAGGCCCTGCACGAGGGCGCCATCTACCGGAGGTGGTTCGCGGAGAACGTCCTTCGGAGGAGCAATTCTCTCGCCTCGGACGCTGTTCTCTCATCATGCCACTAAGCTGCTACGCGCCTGACTATCGTGATACTATTCACAAGTACGTTTTCCACCGCCTAGTGTCTGCCTTGGGGCTGGCCAGCACGAAACGGAGAACTTCAAAGGGAACTGACGTGGCCCAGGGAACCGGGATCACTTCCTGCCCATAGTGAGAACTACTTGGCGTCCATCTTGCGCTTACCGCAGCTCGTCCTCCCAGGTGAGCGCAGGCCCTATCTCTCCTCGTCATGATCTCGTGTTAATAGTTGAGCCGGGGACAGTGGGCCAAGTTCCTTACGAGTCCCGTGCGTCGGGCCGTAGAGAAGAATACCACCCGATCACAGCGTCCCTAGTCGGCGCGGAAGGTAAGCCCGCTCCACTGTCAAGCGTCTCGTAGCGGGAACTTACTAAAGGGTTTGTGTGATTAGGGAGTGATCTAATGCTTGTCAACTTGGCGCGGGCGACGTTTGAACATGCGCAGTGGGGGGAGCAGCTCTTAACTGGCCGCTTTACTTGGAAACTTGGGGATGGGGCGAGAAACGTTGCCGATGTGAATGCTAGGCACCACGGTCTTGGGGACAAAGGGGAGCTTTAAGTGGCCGGTCAAGTAAGAGATAATAGGGACTACAAAGGGAGAATCTTAAGGGGAGACGCAGTAATCGCTAGAAATAGTTATACCCTCCCCATTCATAAGAGATCCATATACCTTCTACTATATAGATAGAGGTGTGGGCTCCTTCACTTAGGAGGGCCAGATCTACTCTGAGCAAAGAGCGAGCGGCATCACGTATCGGCTCTGCTCTTGAGATGAGATTAGATGGGATCTCGATTTTAAGGTGATTAATTAATCTAAAATGAGCACGTCTGTTTCGGCAGCTTCGCGAGACACGAAACAGAACCATGGAACAGGGGCCATCTCACAATGGAAGAAGAAAGGAAAAAGAGAAAAAGGGTGACGAAGCTTCGAAGAATCTAGAAAAGTGCCATCCCAAACATCCCCGCGGCAGCTAGAACAGCGAACCCTGGCACTAATGTTCCGTGGGCTGCGCTGTCGTCGTCCGGTGCTGCGCTCGGCGTCGCGGTTTCTGTCGGAGGAGGCGTGGCCAGGCTTGCCGCCTCGCTCACGATGCTACTCTTAGTCACTTCATCCACCACAACATTACAAGGGTTTCCTGGTCTGCCCGTGTCCTTATCTACCGTAGAGGGACAAGTAGGGTCCGACACATTTCCCCGGAGCTCAACAACGGAGCCGAGGATCGGACACTCGGGCACTTGCATCACGTCTGGCGGGGTACCCAACCCGGCGTCTGGCCAGTCCAATCCTTCTTTTTCCCAGGGCCCTTCTACCGAGAACATCAATTTTCCGAGGACAACGTTGTAAAGAATACCACAGCGCTTCCTATACTTCGGTGCCACTATGATCCAGTTGAGCATGTACCTCTCGTTACGGAACTTCCGCCCGATCCAGGCTGTGACGTTGGAGTTGGCGACAAAGATATAGGTTCCATTCTTTACATCGCCGGCTGATGGCTGCTCCCATTCGCCGTTGTCGTAGAGGTTACCTGACGGGATCCGGCCGTCTGAGTAAGGCATGATCTCCCAAGCTGCGAACCAGTCATCCCCGAGCAAGTCGACCGCGGTGATATTCTGGATAGCGATGGCAATGGGGAAGTCGTCGGAGGGGGTATACGTCTCATTACGCGGGAAAATGACGTCGATTTCGAAGAAGGGGGTCTCCTGAGCTTGGGCTACGGCGCAGAATGAATTGGCGCAGAGCGACACGAGCAGCGTCGAAGCGCCGAGTCGCATTAAACGGGATGTCATAGTTTATTCTTCCCAGGATGTGTGTATATCCCGATAGCCTTGGGAAAATATCGAAACTGCCGGGGGGAGGTTGGACCAGGCGGCTCTTTTTATTCCCGTTCCTCTTTTGAGGCCCTCACCCGACAGGGGGGCCCACGAAGGATGAAGGATCACCTTGGCGCAATTTTTCGCCAATGTAACACCACCATCTAATGCGCACCGGAGGCACGTTGCTTGATTATAGGCTATTAATGCGTCTTGGTATAAATGTCGGGTGTCAGCTTTTCCTAAAAGTGGCAGTGTCCCACCGAGAGCGAAAGTGGAAAGCATCGACTCAGCCCATGCGCGTCGCATCGATTCTTCTATTTTGAAAAGAAATACCCTGTTAGTATATAAGGAATCTAATAGGCCGCTTCTTCGGCCGGTGACATGTCGGTGCTCCTCCTCTGTTCAATCCAGCTTATGCCTCTTCGCGGGAGCCGCAATCCAGGAATAAGCTCTCCAATCATGCCCACCACGGCTCGCTCAGTCGATTACCCGCCAATTCCGAGAGGTCCTGGGCAAAGAAGGGCATCGTATAAAGATAAGTCTCGGACCCGACTAACTGGGACACTGTCTGAACTCCTCTGTCCCCGTCTCCTCCGTAATCATATTGTTTGATTCAGATGTCTATCTAGAAATGGGGAGAAGATGAAGGTTCTTACCTCTCTCATCGCCCTGGCTGGGTTCGCGGGCCTATCCGTCGCCCAAAGACAATATAGAAATGGGGTCGTCCTACTGTCGAAGAGGCCGATAGTGACGCGACGCCGAGGGGCCAGGCCGCTCTCGATCTCGAGGACGAGCGAGCGAGCGAAATGCTTCCACGAATGCCACTCGGGCGTGCGGGCTGTACAGCAGCTGCAGCCTATGCGAGGACTAGTTCATGCAGCTTTGGTGCAACACCGACTGGACAGAGAGGGAAGAGGACTGCGCTTGGGATATCCCGCGGTCCGTCTGCTAGGAATGGTGAGCCTCTGAGGATGCAGTGAGCTCGGTATTTATCTCAAAGTCACAGGGACACTTGCTATGCCAGCCATGGTGAGCGTTGATCAATATCTCCGACGTAAAGGGCTTACGGCCCGCTAACGTCCGCTTGACCATGACTCACGCATGGCTGCCACCGAATCCACACCCGCCGGTAGTGTTGCTTCAACGCTAGCGAGACTACGGCTAGCGGGAAGTAGCGATAGAGATAATGGGGCTCCTAGTTTGGCACCTGGTGCGGCCGCGGGTTTTTCATCTCCGGAGCTGCATACCTTGGAAGGCTGATTATTCTTTGAGCGTGCACCTCGCGACTGCACCCGTAAGCTGGGGAGAGGTGGTACAGAGGAAGTCTGGTTGTTGTTACAACGGCTAGGGCCAACCAACACCAGTTGAAAAACCCAAGTACGTATAGGGAATTAATTCGAAATTGTTCAAAATTCGTCACGTCCATCATCCCGCCCAAAACACCAGGGCCATGATCAATAGATGACATCTTCGAGCCAGAACCGACACCTAGAATTTGCCGCAGGGTCTTTCATAATTGGAAACTCGGCGTCCGTCGATTCTCGATTCTTCACATGGAGGATCCTAGCGTCGGGCCCATAAACCGGCAATTCTCTCGTTTTACTCCCGTGTCTGTTTCCCATGATCGTAAAGTCAACTATCCAGCTCTGCATTTGCTCTGCAGTGTCTCCATCAATCGAAACTCCGAAGATATCTGTTTCTTCTTCATTGTAAAGCGAATACGATACGTCTTGGGCGTGGATCCCAGGGCACATGTCGAAACAATAGCCCCTGGTGTTGTTTTCGTAGGCAAGATTCGTTGCAAGTGCGTGGCAGTCGAAAATGGATTCCCCAGCTGCTAGCATCAGCCTTTCCGTATGGTTTCGGTAAGGCAGTGCTCCAGAGAAGTCGAGGGGGTATATCTCGGTGGCCAGAACGTCAAGCTTGTCAGGCGGTAGATCAGGGAGAAGATTGGAGAAGTACCCTCGGAAGCCTTCGTCATCTTGAACGCGAGTGTCACTAAAGAGACCGCCTTCTCGACTGTTATGAGCGACGAGCACTTCTACCGACCTATCGACTTTACGCTGGGCCAGAATACGAGCGGGCACATCCCGGAGAAACCTCCCATCTACATTCAGTTCTAAAATATTGCTGTCAGATCTCGTTCATTTGGGTCCTTTTTACGAGTTGGGATAACATACGAAAAATAGTATTGGCAATGGAGCCGTTCCCGACCATGGCCTTGTTAATTTCCTGAAGCTCGGTGCCTGAGAGTCCCTTCAACTCTTCGTATCCATCTAGACCCGATTCTTCCAGAAGGTAGTCATAGACCGTTTCGTACTGATTAGCGCTGAGTATCGGTTTTATCGCAGGGCTTTGGACAACGGCCCGCTGGAATGGGGAGGACCCGTATTCTCCCCCGAACGCGGCCAGCTGTGCTAGGACGCTTCCTCCACCAGCTGATTCTCCGATGAGTGTCACCCTTCGTCGATCGCCTCCGAATACGTGGATGTGCTCTTGTACCCAATAGAGAGCGAGCCGTTGGTCGTAGAGACCAGCGTTGGAACAAACACCTTCCATGCCGGGTTTTCTAGGTGGGAAACCAAAAACGCCGCTACGACTATCAGACCAGGATTCCACGTCTGCAGCAGTTACTGGGGCAAGCGGGGAAGTGGAGGAACCAAAATTAAGACGAAAGGAAAAGAGATTCGCTCACAGCCGATAGTTTATCGTCACGACGATCATTCCTCCTCGGTGTCTTTTGAGGCTATGAGCCAAGATGCCAGTCGGATCAATAGCTTCCTTTGACCATTTTGTATATCCGCCGCCATGAAGCCACACTAGCACCGGACGTTTCTCCTCGAAGCGACTCCGCCAGACTCGTTTCGGCACGTATACGTCGAGAAGAAGGCAATCCTCAGACTGGACCAAGCCCTCAGAACTACCAAGAGCCATATTCGACGTATTCCCACAAGTAGAGGCGTAGTCTCGAACGATGGGCAGAGTATACGCGGAATTATTCCCTGTAGCTTGGTAGCATATCCGCGTGTCGAGGCCCTCGTCGATGCTGCGATTAACTGTAGTTCTCGGCACCGGTGCCTTGAAACGGAGATCGCCAATAGGGGGTTGGGCGTAAGGGATGTTTTTGAAAGTATAATGCGACGTGGTAGCCTGGGCATTCTCGTCAGAAATAGCACGTATCAGTATGGCTTGGGAAGAATACTCAAGACCCTAGCTTTACATTTTCAATCGCGCGGTGCCTCGAGGTTCCTAGATCTACTACCGGCCTACATTCGAGGCCAGCGGTAACGAGAACCAAGACGCCCGAAATCAGCAGCGTAACGACGGTGGAAGCAATCCCGACGCCCATGATGTTTGGTTCTATTCAATCACGAACTTTGACGACGTTGATTTCCTCCCTCGCCATCTGGAAGATTTCGAAGGATGATTTCGCCAGAGCGGGGGTTCATATATGGCAGCCGGAGTGCTTGGGACGATTGGCTGAATGATATTAGGCATGATATATATCAGCGAATGCACGACCCCAAAACTGACATCAAAAGTTCCCGACTGATTCAGGAAGGTCGGACGGACTAGGTGGCTCTGTTGTTGAACTCCAGTCAGAGTTTGTCCAACGACAATCCTTCATGTTCCCGCTGCACTTCCTACTGCATCTCCCGCTTTTAGCCTAACATCTCCTTCCTCCCTAACGGAGGCGTTCTGACGTGATCTGTACACCGCTCCTACCTCTGCCGTTGACGTTGGAGTTGATGCGAGGGTTTTGCGAGGGAAAGGGAGACGGATCGCACGGAGTCCAGCTGCGACCGGCCTTGGGCTCTTAGCAGCCCCACTTGAAGGCCTTATCCGGAGGCTGTCCCCGGGTTAGATCCATTGATGACGTGAATACGGCTGCCCGAGATCCTATTGCGACGCTGGAAGGTGGTTATGTACCCGTCTTCCGATGCTGTGCCGTCCCGATATTACCAGGTGTACGGCGAACGCGTTTCTCGGTGGGAACTGGAGCACAATTTAATCGATTGCGGACCCTGGAACCCGAAGGATACTGGCTACAGGTGGCAGCATTACATTTGGCAACCGGGTTCACGAGTGGACTTGCCTTTCACGCCTTTGCTTTCAACGAAACCTTTACGTGCAAGATAGACCTTGATACCTTTGATGTATGTTCTAGATAATGAAAGAGTATAGCCCTTCATAATCGGAACCTCACATCCTCTGCGTTTGTAAGAGTAATACCATCGAGAGGCAATCAACTAACAATAGGTTCCTGGGCTGGCGCTGTAACGCCGAGGAAGGGGGTTCCCCATAGGACCACCACCACCGGACACTGCGAATATGTCTGGAATAACGTGGCTACTCGGCCATCTATATTCACAGATAATATCCATCTAATGCCATCGCTGCCAGATCGACACTGCATTGCGCAACCATATCCCCCGGGAGCTTTCTGATTTTGAGCTCACTCCTAACCTCATAACGCCTCGGCTATAAACTTTTTAATTTTATTGTGTACCTAGTAGACTACTCGCAGCCACCTAAGGCGTTGCTTACGTTCAGAATGGTGAACCTAGCAACAGGATATACGTCGAGACCGAGATATACAAGCCACGGATTAATCTCTTCACCCAAACCAGCATGTAGGTTTAAATATCGGATATGATAAGGGGTTCAGCTGCAACGATACTTCTGCGAGCTCAGAAGCGACGCGTGCACAAGATACTTGTCGCTCTTGACACAGAACAACCTGGGCGAGAAGAAAGGGAAGCCGAGCAAGAAGGCTGATAGCCCCATAACAGCTTTCCTTCACCCCAGCGACTCCCGTCCATTTAATAGCGAAAGTGTTTAGTACACAGATCTAGGGTCCGCCACGGTGGCCCATATTCTAAAAGAGTTTGCTTCTCGAATACAAAGTTCCTCGATGACCGAACTCCGTATCCTGTTCTGCTCTCGTCAAAAGCCAACCCGGCTCTCAGCTCCAGCTCATCAATATCCCGGGTAGTCCATGTAAACATATCACCAAAATTATCATGCTCGAAGTCATATTGTTGTTCCTCCTGATCACCGGTCCGTGCCGGGAATTTCATCGGCCTAACGTTGTAAATCCCGTCTTGTTCATGCTTTCCCGGAAACCAGAGTCCCGATATGCGCAGACGCTTAAGGCTCCGTGTCTGGCATACGGTGGCAAAGACAGCGTCCCACGAGCCTGAAGTCAAGGCCAGCCGCTCAAGCCTGAGATAACGAAGATGCTCGTGCGCCTCAAGAAATTCCTGCATCTCTTTTTGGGTCACCCGCAGTCCCCGCAATGTCAGCTCCCTTAAGCTTGGGAAATCCCGAGGTTGGAAAAGGTCGGTTATGCTGCATCTTGTAGGATCTCCAAGATCGTAGTTGAAACTGGCGTTGTACCTGTGGAGGTGCAGAGATGTAAGATTTGGCATAAGCCTCAGCAGCCATGCTACTGCCTTTATACCTTTCTCGTGTTTAGGATCAGCGAGATGGCTGTCGGCTGCTAAACTCTCGGTTCGACTATTTAGAAGGACCGGCGAAGAGAAGCTTATAGAAAATTCCGTAAGTAGACTTAGGCAAGTCTTCAATATATCGAACTCGGTAGAGTCGAACCGATCTAAGGCAGAGTGGATCTCGTTCGTGGGCAAGCTACACATAGGTGTATCCTGATATAAAGAAAGGCTATTGATCTCAACACCAGAATGAACGATGGATAATAGGAGCCTTGCGTGGACACGACAAGCCTGTGACCAAAGGTTTTTCCACACAAGGCCCGGAGAGTGAGAGGGCGGGCCGGAGTGGTCGACGTCGTCAAAAGCGACAGCGTCTAAGCTGATTCTTCGCAGGCTTGGAAGTCTTCTCAGGGCCTCCGTGAGCATGGTGGTCATGTCCTGACTGGCAAAGTGCGCTTGCGACACAGCGCAGGTTATCAACCAATTTTGTCGATCCAACTGGCTCCTGGGAGGATTGGTACGAACGGCTCTGGAGACGCAGTTGTAATGGGGCATAATCAACTGTAATTCAACAATAGCCCCCATCAGATCCGGGAAGGCAGAGACATTGCAGAGTCGGCGAAGGGGTCGCTGTGAAAGAAGGACTCGTCGCGACTTGAAGTGCCTCTTGAATGCATTGAGTGAGTCGCCTTTCAACTTTCGGGATACCTGACGAATCGACAAGAGACTGGGAAAATCTAAAAACAGACAGATTCTGTATACGATATCTTCTGGAACAGATGTGAGGCTCGCCATCTCGCTGCGACCCATCTGCCCTGGGTCCGTCTCATTGCGGGGAGATGGAGTTTCGCGGTCTCAAGCCTGATTGTAATGCCCGAGCTCACGTGTGTGGGTTAACGATTGGCAGCAAGGATCGATGACCATTTCATCCTGCATGCTGCGCTGCGCCACAAACTCAGGTGCCAATGGTCGGTTAGTGCATGAACAAAGTGACATTCTCGGTGTGATCCGGAACATAGGCTGGAGCTGTCAAGAGGGGGTTGCGTCCTTCGTAGAAATGAATTTGATCACTCTAGCCTCTGGAATGGAGTGGTTTCACTCCCTCCATTTGGTGGCCGCGTCATGGCAAGCTCAACCTAAACTTCTCCCTCCTCATTTTGAGATCTCTCGCCTAGCACACACGGGCGTCGAGAATAAATGGCAAATCTGAACTCATCCACGCCGAGGCTGCTTCTCGGCCTCTCCCAAGATGTGGTTTACTTAATCTGCGAGTTGTTGAGCAGTGCAGATATACTGTCGCTGTCTCTCACCTCCACAATCTTGCATCGGATGGTCGAAACCATAATCTATTCCAGTGTCGAGTTGAAGTGGAAGCACCGCCTGTTCCCTCCTCTCATCCCATTAACGCGAACCCTCCTAGCCCGGCCGGAACTAGGCACGTACGTTAAACATGTCAGGCTCCAAGGGTTCGCCAGCTATCTTACATTTCCACCCTATGGGACGCCCCCAAACCTTCGCCCGAGGCACGAAGATCTTGTCGAGCCAATCGCATTTATCAGAAGAACTGGAGTCCCGTTCATAGACGACTGGATCGAAGGCCTATGCCACGGGTCTATAGATGCGTGGGTCGCCGTCGTACTCCTTCAGTTTCCCAACATGAGGACTCTGCACATCAGCCTGGAGTTTATCCAGAAACCCGAATTCCTAGGCCTATCCTTCCAAGCCGCTCTCGCCGAGCCTTCAAAGTACCATCTCCCCTTATTCGGTAGCCTCTACAGCCTGACTATCAATACCCTGCGTGACCGGAACTGGGTAACCGGCAAGAATGCAAAAGGAATGTTACCCTTCTTTTACCTTCCCAACATTCGCTCGATCTCATTACCTATAGGGACGAAAGACCTTGTCCGGTGGCCAACGTCCCCGCCGACACCGTCCCTTCTTACGTCGCTCCGTTTGTCCCGGCTTGATCACATCCCCACCCTACGGCGGATCCTTTCCGTGACGACGAGCCTCAAGTCCCTTAGGTGCAACTTTTATTACCAGCGCACGACTCTGGAGGCAGGAAATCGAACCCCCCCGGTCCTAGACTTGAACCTGTTCAACGACGCCCTGATCCCCACTCTACGCACCCTAGTACATCTAGAGCTTACATGCACGCTCTCCGGACTTGGGAGGACTATGTCCCGTGGACCAGGGCCACGGTATCCCCTCTCGGTCAATGGTTCCCTAGGCAGGTTGGAAGACTTTGGCGAACTAAGGACTCTCGTAATCCCTCTGGTGTTTCTGTGCGGGCTTGAGGCAGACACAGATTCGGAGCCGGTATTGCCGACCCTGCCACAAAAGCTAGAAGAGGTGACGATTACCGAATGTTTAAGTAAGGAAGGAAAGGAAAGATGGACCATCTATACAGCGATTCCCGTACTTTCGAAATGGTCCAGTCTGAGCAAGGAGCTCACGCCGCAGCTTCGAAAGCTCTGTCTTTGCTTTAGAACGTCCAGCGGAGCGGAAACGGAGCTCGCTAACGTATGCGCGGTGGAGAGGATCCAATTTGACGTGTGCGACGAGTACTTGGACCGAGAGTTGCCTTCAATGATTTGATATCATTGACCGACCGGGTATCTTCCAGAGATGGCCGGCATGTTTTTTTTAAGCTGGTTTGGAAGGGTGATACGAGACACTTGAGTTTTTAACCCGATCTCGAGACGGATTTGCCTCGCATTAAAGGGAAGGCGAGTTCGACGGCTTGATGCTAGGGAGATCTCGTCTTAAAACAAGCACCATATATCTTAATACCTGCTGCCGGAGATGTACCAACCGAACGCATTCGAACAGTCCGAGTCCTTGCACAGCCCCCTGCACAAATGACGCCATCGCTCTATGAATTGTTCTCATTATT